TCCGAATATTCCGATGTCGGATTCCAGCGAGAACACACCGACTTTTTCTATCATCATCATCATCATCATGATGGATTGATCAATATATACACTCATTCAATTATCCTCAATGTTGACTGCCTCATACACACTCTTGTGACAGAACGCCTGCTTGATACACTCCTCCATGCCCTGTTACGCGTAAGCTTGTGGAACACTAAGAACATGTAAAAATAAAGGCGTTTCTTGTTATCGACTTACAGCCCAACTTTTGACAATTGTGTAGGGAAAAATAAACTTCCTCCCGACAGCGTCTTTGAATTTAATACTTTCCAACTTAACTTTCCCCGCGCTACGTTGAATGCGAGGGTCGTTTGGTGGGTTTCCGGGGCTCTCGTCGGCAGCTGAGGGGCCCTGTTGGGGCGTGTCTTCGCGGGCGTCATCTTCAACCGTAGGTGGTACAAAGAGGTTCGACATGATGTACAAAACGCCTCGAGTGTCCAAGGGGTCTGGTAAGATCGGGGCCAGATGGAGTCAATTGAGAACTCTGCAATAAGCAGACCGAGCCCGGCGGTGTGGCAGATATCCTCTTCACAGCCTGCTTCGAAACGACATGTCACATAAGAGAGCCTTCCCAAAGGAGTCAAGTGCTGACAACTGCAGGCCGGCGTTTGACCATCTCACAGCGTATCATTGATTGATTGTGTTCGCTTGGCGCAGTTGATTGAATGCCTTGGGTCCGTATCATGCAAGAGCACCCAGACTACATTTTTTTCACTGCCTTAAGATGCGTGGTCTCATGCAGATCGACAGGTTACAGTACCCGAGCCATTTTCGAGACCATATGATGTAGGTGATACAGTCATGCGTCGGGCCGAATACGGGTTCAAATAATAAAGGGAACTTTGCTGAAGGGTCCGAAGCTGCTGTTAATGAACGTGTTTGTTGCCCCTCCCTGTCGGCGCAGGGTGTTGCTCCTATCTAGCTGGCTGGAAAGTTCCCGTTATAGTGGTGCACCGTTTTATAGCGGCGTCAAAAATCTAGTTTATCTAGCAAATTCAGCCTGTGACATCTGAATAGCTTCTACGAGTGATTGCAAACTCCCTCCACCTACAATCTGGTTGAGACTAAGCTCTACCGCCCACTCGCGACGGATAAAGTTACGCAGCTCAACCGCTACAAGCGAGTCTAATCCCAGGTCTTCTAACCTGGCGCTTGGGTCCAGCTCCTCGAGATCCATCATGGTTATGTCTGCAATTTTCTGCGCGACACTACCCATCACATCCTGGGCTTCTGTACCTCGCCGAGCCTTTCCGCTGGTCCTTTGCGCTGGTTTCGCAAGGTTGGCTTTGCCCGCGATGCCATTGCAGATGGCCATGGAGTAGTTCTGGTTCATCCACGGAAACTGCCAGTCCTGTGTGAGGTCGTGGGCTGTGAAGCACAAGGAAAGTCCAACGCCGGCATCGTACAGAGATGATGGTGCCACAATAGCGCTTTTGACGAGGGCATGAATGTGTTCCTCCTTCAGCGTCAAGCCGAGCGATCGCCGCCACTCATCTTCGTTACCCAAGGACTCAGCGACGTATCCGATGTCCTCGACAAGTGGGAGGCAGATAGAACTGGCGGGTAGACCACGGGACAGGCGGTAGCGCGCGAACGAATTCAGGAATGCCTGGTGATGCAAAGTGGTTAGCAAAACATTTCGTTATCTTCATTCCTTCCGTTTCATCATCGATCTGACATACTGATGCTGCGCAGTACGCTGGCTGGCCGAGAGTCCCAAACACTCCCGTCATCGAACTCAGAGAGACAAAAAAGTCCAAGTCAGGGACAAGTTCGTGCAGACTCCAAGCCGCTGCAACCTTGGGGGCCGTGATATTTTGCCAATCTTCGAAGGTGGTGTTGGTGAACAATGCGTCCTGTCAGAAAAAGGGTCAGTTCACGTCGTGCATGGCATGTATTCCACTGAAGACTTAAGGGTGAAGTAGTCGTCTCCGAACTGAACCGAACTTACACGAAGGAAGAGTGCACCATGGATCACACCGCGGACCGGGGGAAGTCCCTCATCTTTTATCTCGGCCAAAGCGCGCACGAGATCTGAGCGCTGCCCAACATCACACTTAACCGCATGTAAGCGACCGGTATATGCTCCCAGCATCCTCGCGACCTTGGAATGAGAGGTGCCGCTACGGCCGAGAAGAACAACATGGCCAGCGCCATTTCCAATCATCCACGCTGCCAAAGAACGCCCGATACCACCTGTTCCGCCTGTGATCAGATACGTGGCCGCCGATGACAGCCACGAACCTTGAGCCCTGCCCGCCGTTGCCAGTGGTGTCCTCCGCTCAATGACCACCTTGTCTGATGGTGACACGGTCACAATAGCTTTGCCAATAATTTGGCCTTGCTGCAGCTTACGCAACCCCTTTTGTAGCTCCGAGATGGGCACCAACGTCAATGGTCGCAGCGGCCGTAGCACGCCCTGGTCCAGCAACTTGACAATGCGGCTCATTGCTGTACGTCGCTCGGTCATCGGTCGTCGTGATATGTCCAGTCCTATGAAGGAAGCATTTCTATCAAAAGGTCGCATGGCAAGACTGCTGCCAGCGAGGAAATCCACCCGTCCGATCTCGACGAAGCGTCCGCCATTCGCGATCAGGTCCCACGTCGCCTGAAGGAGATCCCCACTCAGCGAATTGACAATGACATCTACCCCTTTGCCGTTTGTAGCTTTGAGGATATCGTCACGGAAGGATGTGGTACGGCTGTTGAATACGCCGGCCAGGTTGTATTCCTGCTGGAGGAATTCGCGGCGTTCAGGGGTTCCGGCCGTGGCAAAAATGCGTGCGCCGAGATGCTGAGCGAGCTGAATGCAAACCTGGCCCACAGCTCCCGCAGCAGAGTGAATGAGCAGTGTCTCCCCAGGCTGTAAATTTGCCAAGGTTTCTAGGGATGCGATGGCTGTGTAGTAAGCCGTGGGGAGTGACGCAGCCTCCTCGACGCTCAGAGAAGTCGGCACCGGTGTTGCATGGTCGCAGGGAATGCTCACAAAGTTGGCCAGACTGCTGGCTTTGTCTGTTGTATAGTAGAAGACGCGGTCGCCGGGCTTGAAGTTCATGACATTTCGTCCAACGCGGACGACTTCGCCGGCTCCCTCTCGGCCAGGAGCTTGCCATGGAATGGAGCCAAGGAGGATGAGAACGTCACGGAAATTAAGCGAAGCTGCCTGTACGTTGACAATAATTTCGTCGTCTCCTGGGCTGGTATCCAGAATCGGTGTGCGCTGGAAGTAGATTGCGTCGAGATCGCCGGTTGAGGAGATTGTCAACTCGACAGCCTCGTCCTGTGGTATTGGCTGCTCGTCCTTGGCAACGACAACGCCCAGTTCTCCTGCAAAGGCTTCCCGTGCCAGTTCCTTCTCGATGAGGCGGTTGATGTGAATCTGGCCATCCTTGAGGACGAGATCTTGGTCGCGTCGAAGTCTTGCTAAGTCCATGTTAGTACCTGCAGCTACAAATTTAGCAATCCTGGCCACTGCCTTAGCTGACTGGTGGCCTTCGGTATCCAAAGTTGCGCCCTCTAGCAATATCATGAGCTTTTCCGGATTCTCGTGACGCAGAGAGCGCAACAGCCCCTTCGCTAGGCCGCCTTCGGGCGGGACATGACCGGGAGAGATCCAGAGGATGCCTGTGTTCTCTATAATGAGGCTCTTGATATTTTCGAAACAGCTCGCAGTTGGAGAGTCAAAGACGCTGCGGTGAAGACCATCTACAAAGATGCAGTACGCCGTCGGAATCGGCAGAAATTCGGAAAGCTCGTGAAGGACGACCGGTGAACCGAGGTTCAGCTGGCTCTCTAATTGAAGAGCTACTTGCTGGGCAAAATTGAGTGTTTGAAGCCCGTCATCGCCTTTCCAGAAGCCGCAAACGATGACTTCAGGGGTTGGGTCCCGACCCCAACTGTGAAGATCACTAGTTTGGACAGCCTCGGTGGCATCTGATTCTGCTGCCGCCATGGACCATATGGCTGTAACATTCCGCTCGGGATGTCCGGGATAATCTTCGACGGCACCGTCAACACCGGTGAACCCACTATCCTTGAGAGCGCGATCCCACACATCCTGACCAACAAGAGGCTCTCCCGATGCTCGGTAAGCGTCTTCGGCAAGCCACCACCCGGGAAGCCCGAGATACGCAAGATCTAACGGCGCCATGTGCATGCTCTCCAACATCAGCAACCTTCCCCCAGGCTTGAGGAGACCTCGCACATGTGCTAGGCTGACGGCGAGATCAGGCGTAGCGTGCATCACGAGCGAGGCGACGACGAGGTCGAAAGAGCCTTTAGCAAACACTGTACTCTGCCTGACGGGGTCTTTCGAGATGTCGAGTCTCTCGAATGTCATCCGGTCAGACCATCTTGCCAGCTTCTCGCGGCCTTTCTCGAAGAACCCTGATGAGATGTCGGTGAAGACGTACTCGGCAAACGGAAAGACCTCAGGAGATGACAACGCCTCAAGAACCGGCTTTGTTGTGCCGGCCGTGCCGCCACCAACCTCCAGGATACGTAGGTTGCTTTTGGTGGCCGCGAGTGTGCGCGCATATCTGGCCATGGCCTGGTTGCCACGGCGAAACGCTGCTTCATCCTGGTAGTGCTGCCAAAGAAGCCCGTCCTGCATCATCAGTTCCAGCGATTGCACTTCATTTCGCATGATGGGTACCAGTTTCTCGCCAATAATGCGCAGCAAGGTTCCGGCAGGACCGATGGCGTCGGCTAGGGGCCGTAGGGAGGCCAGGGATAGTGTTGATGACGAATCCTCGGGAAGACGGGGACCAGGCCACGAGCTGGCGAACTTGTGCACTGCGGAGCGCAGTTTCAAAAGGTGATGGGGTAAATTCGTTAGATCATCGTTCGCGGTTTGAGGCAGAGCAAGCGCCATGTAACCACACGCGACCTGGTTCCCAAGCCGACGCTTGTCGAGCTGGTCGTGCTCGAGGGAAGGGTCTTCGAGCATCGCTGCGAGATCACGACCATCGACGAAATCAATGTGCGGCAGCAAACGCTCGGCGTAGCTTGCAGGCAGCCCGGCTATTATGCTCTCGGTCGAGGGCTGTCTGACCCGCTTGACCGTTGCCCTATCGATCTCCAAGATGGGGATCCGGGGTCCGGGGTCGGCGAGAGCGCCCGCGAAAACGACGATGCTAAAGTCCATCCGACCGTTCTGTCGGCTATGCTCCAGGACACGGCTGACGATAGTGAAGCTCTGGCCGGCCTCGGCCTGGATGCGATTCGACACGCGAAGCCGCGATACATTGGTCGGCACATAAACACCCCTGACACCGTCAGCACGCTCGTGGAGGATGTGGATGCCGTGGAAGAAGGAGTCCAGGGTCGGAGGGTCCACGGTTACGGGCGAAAGAGGCAGAAAGGCGGAAGGCGGACTGAGCGCCTCGGGACGAAGGACGGTGACGTGGGTCGTGGCGTCGTGGTTCGGCGATACCCACAGCTCCGTCATGGCTGTGAAAGAGGGGCCGTATGCGGTGCCAGAATTGGCCGCAGTCCGGTACTCCTTCGCCGGATCTATCCTTCTGGGCTCGGGGCCACTGGTATTCTGAACCATGCGGTCGACGACCTGCTGGGCTTCTGAGACTACAAAGCTCGTTGGGCTGAGTGGTTCTGCAGCAGCGATGCAGCCGCGACAGTGAGAATTCCACCCGTTTTCCTCGGACCACGACAGAATTTCAAAGATCCAACTGTGCGGCGAAGATGATCTCGTCGAGGTTTCTTGAGTGCCACCTGAGAGTGGCTTCAGCTTCGTCGTCACGTCGACACGCTGGTCTTCAACAACCTTCAGGCTGCGTCTCACGGTCAGGTCCTTTATCATCATGCTCTCTGGGGCAATGCCGCCGCCTTTGGGAAGAAGGGCTGTAACGGTCTTCACAGCCTCGAACGCTAGCGCTAGAAAACCTGTGAACGGGAACAGGATGTCGCCGCCGACGACATGGTCCCGCAGCCAGGGCATGTCGTCTAAGGTGAAGACGTTGCGAAACGAGTGTTCGTCCCCCTCGCAGTGAGCAGTTCGGCCACCCAGCAGGGCGTTGTACGGAGAACCTCCGAAGAGCTTCTGCTCGGCAACGCGTGGCCGGTGGATGTATGATGTCTCGTGGTTCCAGGCGTAAGCAGGTAGATCCGTTGCCAATCGTGCGTTGTATCGTGATGTCTGGTTGACCTGCTCGAAGTCCAAGTCGGCGCCAGCCTCGAAAAGGCGTCCGGCAAAATTTAAGACGGATGTGATGGGATATGTCCCTCTCTGCAGCGAGGGCAAATACGCCACCTGTGTCTGGTGAGAGTTGCTGCTTCTTAAAGACTCGAGTATCTGGCGTATAGGGCCCCTAAGCGCCGAATGAGGGCCAATTTCGATAATGACGTCGATGGGTTTTTCATGGTCATCTCCTTTCTGGAGGCTTAGCAATAGTTTGAGCGCGTCTGAAAACAAAACAGGCTGGACGAGATTGCGGACCCAGTATGACGCGTCGAGAGCAGATTCTACCTGGCCGGTTACCGAAGATACAAAGACAGCTTTGCAACCAGGGTTATCTTCGCCGTGATTTGACAAAAGATGCGGCTCAAGCAAAGCCTTGTATGACTCTGCCACCGTCTGCATGTGATGCGAGTGGTACGCCACGCTGACCTTGAGCCTTCGCGGATTCAGTCCTCTCTTCTCGGCCAGATCCTGGACGGTCTCGATAGCCTCCTGGTCCCCGGAGACGGTGACAGATGCAGGGCTGTTCACAGCCGCGATAGTGACCTTGGAACGGTCCTCATCTCCCAACGCCTCGGCCACAAGTTTCTCTGCCTCATCCTTGCCAACGCCAACAGCGACCATGGCTCCCTTTATCTTAGAGTCGCGCGTGACCTGCAAAGCTGCTTGACCGCGAAGGTACGCAACAGCAACTGCCGTCTCGAACGAAATGAGGCCCGCGGCGAAGGCAGCTGCAATCTCGCCGCTGGAATGACCAGCGACAGCTGCTGGCTCCACGCACCATGCACGGAGGAGCTGGACGAGGGCGAGCTGGACGATGGTGCACGCCGGCTGGGAGATCTCAGCGTCGTTGATACGCGAGCCGGCTTCGGCTGAGCGCTCGAGCTCCTCCTCTATCGACCAAGATGCTCCGAGATTCTCAAGACATCGGGATGCCCGCTTCAAGGCAGCAGCGAAGGGCGGGTAGCGCCGAAGCCCGGTAACCATGCCCGCGTGTCTGTGGAAAAACTGAGTTAGACTCCTTTTGAGCTGGAATAGACCATGCGGCATTGCTTGTGATCACAGGACTTACTGGGCGCCTTGGCCGGTGAAGACGAATCCTGGGATGGGTATGCCAGATGCCTTCGAGTTGAGTCCGGTTGGTCGTGGAGAGACACCGGAGATCTCGAGCATTCGCTCTCGTAGTTCGCTCAGGGACTGCGCTACGACTGCTCGCCGAGACTGCGTAAAATGTGTACGACGCTGGCCCAAAGTGAAGCTAATGTTTTGCAGCAGGCTAGTCGCGCTCTGGGCTTCGTGTGAGGCTAGGTACTCAGCCAGTGAAGCCACGTAGGCGCCTAAGCTCGAATTGGAGCCAGCAGAGACTACAAATACCCGCGGCGTCTCGTCCAGTTTATTGTCGCCGTTGGTGACATGGATATCGGGGGCTTCCTCCAACAGTATAGCAGAGTTTGCTCCGCCAAGTCCTACGATGCGTCAGCTGTCACGTTTCAACGCAGTCATCCCCAGAAAGAAGCAGCCAGAAGCGCTTACCGTAGTTGGTCACACATACACGCCTCGGGGACGAGGAGGTAGGCCATGGCATTGTCTCTTTCAATACCCGCAATCTTTCTGCCCCACTGGCATTAAGTATAGCAGGGTTGAACTTCTCAAAGTTGGCATTGGGGAGCATGACCCGCCGCTCAAGCATCATCGTGGATTTGATAAGTGAGAGCAGACCGCTGGCACCTTCAAGGTGGCTGCAAGATGGGACTTCCGTCAGCAAAGAAAGAAGGCAAATTTCATCCTGACCAGCACATTCAGGAAATCGGCCGTCACAGCATCGAGCAGAGCCGATGATCCTTGGGATGAACTCACCCTATATTCGACTTCACAGAGCCGAGAAACACTGGGGCGGACGTCGGTGATCGCTGGCTCGCATATACAGAAGAAATGGCAGCTGCGTCGATAGGATCGCCGACAGCAGTGCCGGTGCCGTGACCCTCAACGAATCCGGTGTCCCTGGGATCCAGGCCAACTTCCATATGGACACGTCTCGCCAAGCCCTCCTGAGCTTCTTGAGAGGGCACAGTAATGCCACCGGGCACCCGACCCGAGTGACTCGCCGCTGTCTGGAAGGGACGTCAGCTCGGCACAGTTGTGGGAAAGTTGACCTAAAGACAAGTCGGGAAGCATCATATTGAGAGGCCGAGAAGTAGAAGACACGGGGTATCAAATGTTCCCTCTCAACAGTCTCTCGTATACAAGAAACAACCAGGACTCTCAAAATCTCATTACAGCAGAGCAAAGAAGGGGTCTTCACATACATTGCGGATGATGGCGCGTACGGTATCGCCGTCGGCCAACGCTGCTGCCAACGGCTTCACCACGAGACACGCGCTCCCCTCGCCGCGTCCGAAACCGGACGCCCTGTGGTCGTACGAGAAGCACTTGCCCTCGGGAGACAACACACCGACAGTATCGAGCATGGACCAGAGCTCCGGACCGTTGAGCAAATTCGCAGCTGAGACTAGTGCGGCCTCACACTCGCCCAGCCTTACGCTCTGGCACGCCAGATGAAAAGCGTACGAGCTGCTCGCGCAAGCTGTGTCAACAGCAGCGCTTGGCCCGCGGAGGTCGAAGAGGTAGGATATGCGGTTTGCAAGCATACAACCCGCAGTGCCACTCGCACTATACGCACTCGTGGTGAGGAGGTCCTCGGCAGCGTGGCCAGCATACGTCGACCCTTGATGCGCCGCGAATACGGCCACGTTACGGCCAGCGATGTCGCGGAGCGTCCAGCCTGCATTTTCGAAGGCCTCAAAGGCGCATTCGATGGTGATGCGCTGCTGAGGATCCATGGCTTTGGCCTCATCGCGGCGAATGTTAAAGAAGGCGGCGTCGAAGGCGTGGATGTCCTGTGGCATGAAGTGACCGCCCTTCGAATGGATGTAGCCTGGTTTCTCGTAGATCGGGCAGTGGTAGGCGTCCTGATTGAAGCGAGATGGCGGCACCGGCGATGATGCGCATCTTGCTTCCGCCAGAAGATCCCAAAGGCCTGATCGTCCGACGAGGGGGGCCCGGTAGGCATATCCGACTATGGCCAGTGGTGGATGAATGTTCCCTTCATCTTGGCCAGCTTGGGGTCTGTCATCCTCCGTATTCTGCGTTGGAGGCCGGTTGCGGGTCATTCTGCGGCTAGTGTACGGAAATGATGTAGGTCTGAGTATGAAATCTGAGATGGCATGTAGCTACAGCGGAGCCTGTCTAGAGGTGATGCGGGTTTTCAGGCACGCTGTGGACTCTTTTGGAAGCGGATTCTAAAAGCTGTTTTTCCTGTGCAACTTCCCACATCAATTCTTATCTATCACGAGAGAGAGCCGTAGAGTTCCTAATATATATCTCCCGGCGTTCATAAAGTATCCGTGTAACCGAATTCTATGAGAATTCAGCGTTGACGCTCAGATGCCGTTGCAACCGAACGTAAGGCGTTTAAGTTTCCACGACCCCTGAATTGTTTTTTGGCACGTTTATGAATTCTGCTCATACTGCTCGACTCATTTGCCGTTACAAAACTAGGTATGATTTTCCAACCCACTAATCGTAGCCCCAATATTCGAATACTCTGGTCAAACTTTATAATACGACATGTATCATGGGCGCGGTGTGAAAGGAGCGGTAACGAGCATACTCTCGCCAATGCGCTAGTCAGTCATGCCAGAAAAGGGAAAAAGTCGCCGTCGGAGTTTGCGATTCGTATGCAATGTCTGATACCCCTGAGCACGATCGAATCGCTGTTTTCTTTCCGAGTTGTCTTAACTAGGCAGCGTTCAGTTGTACCACCGAGATGCTCGTACGGACGATCTTGTAATTCATCATCTTTAAATGTTGCCATAGTCTCCTCTCGTGGTCTGACAATTGAGCATAGTACCACCCTACCGACGCCAAACGGCCGCTTACTTTCTTTGCACAGACAGTCCAGACATAGACGAAGAAATACAAAGCCATAGAAAGCATGTCTCTTCCGCAGCTCGACCCGGACATCTTGGACGAACTGGCGGAGGCACGCTTGTTCCATACCGAGGCTATCGAGGACGTCTGCGAGTGCACGGCGCTTCAGATGGGCACTATGACCGAGTCCATGATGCATCCTAATCGGTATAAGCACACCGCAGTCTTCTCTATCTCTCCTTCTGCCGACCGGAAGCGCTTGGCGTTCGCATTAGCAAAGCTGGTATCTCTGACCCCGATTTTGCGTTCCCGCATTGTCGACAGCAGCCGTCATGGTCTTGTCCGCGTCGTCCTGCGAGAAGAACACCAGATGAAATATTTCTCGCAGCCGCTTCATGAGTTCCTTGAGGATGAGAAGAATCATACGATGGGACTCGGGACACCTCTGCTGCGCAGTGCCTTTGTGGATGGCAAACTCGTTCTCACGACGCACCATGCCATAAGAGACGAGACATCTACAGCGCTTATGCTCGCTGACATTGTCCGCATATACAACTATCAAGAGCCCGCGCAACATATTCCGTTCAACAACTTCGTCGCCTTTTGCGACAGCATCGCGGACCACGAGGCGCGAGCCTTCTGGGCTGACCGACTCAGGGGTGAGAGCGCCATCTTCCCTACGCCGACAGCAAGTGCGGCTCCAGCTACGGAGCCCTTCCAGAGACAGCGGGATGATTTATTCGTTCCTGGGAACATATCACGCGCCCAACTTCCCGCATATATTGAGGTCGCCTGGGCGTTGACGGCAACCGCCTATACCAATGCTCGCGCCGTCTCGTTCGGATTGGTCTTCTCGGGCCGGACGCCGGCCTTCGCGTCTACGATCGGCCCCACCGCTGCCGTTGTGCCTGTCCGCGTCGAGGTAGATCCTTCAACGACCATCCACGCGTTACTCAAGCAAAGAATAGCCGCAAGGCGTTGTCTTCTGAATCATCCGGCGCTCCAGTATGGACTGGCAAACATCCGCCGTGTCAGTCGTGACGCCGGGGTTGCCGCCGGTTTTCAGACCCAGCTGAACATCATCCCGCAAGCCCGAGTTACATCTGACACGGGTGCGAGCGGGCTGTTGCGGATGGAAGAGGCCTATGAGGTCGACGCGCAGTTCATCTTGTCTCTAAACTGCTTCCTTCATGATGCTAAAGTTGCCATCGAGGCCGACTTCAACCCGGTTGCGTTACAGACTGCTCAGATGCAAAGAATACTCAGGCAATTTGCGTACACGTTGTCGTGGCTGCTAAGTAACCCAATGGAGACCATGGTTGAGAGTCTTTTGCCGCTGAATCCGCATGATTTGTCGGAAATTATGGTCTGGAATCAAGACGTACCTGAGGCCGTTAACGAGTGTATACATAAGCTTTTCGAGACTCGAGCTCGGCAACAGCCATCTGCACCTGCTGTGATAGCCCCTGACGGAACCGCCACATACGGTGAGCTAGACGACATGTCGACAAGATTGGCCCTTCATCTCCGTGTTCACGGCGTCGGACCAGAAATAAAGGTTCCTCTGCTTTTTGGAAAGACAATTTGGGCCGTCGTTTCGTTCCTAGCCGTGATGAAAGCCGGGGGCGCTTGCGTTCCGTTGGACCCGTCTCACCCAAGCCAGCGTATTATGGACATCATCAACAGATGCCGAAGCTGCCTGGTGTTGACGTCTAGCAGCACGGCGTGGGCAATCAACGACATGCCTCAACCACTTAAACATGTCACCGTCAGCTCGGAATTGATCGCGGCTCTTCCAAGCAATGGGACGTCTCTCCCAAAGGAGGAAGAAGCTTCACCGTCGAATGCAGTTTATGTCCTCTTCACGAGCGGGAGTACCGGGGTTCCGAAGGGCGTCGTCCTGGAGCACCGCAATCTGGCTTCCACTCTCACACACTACGGCCGGCGCGTGGGATGGGAAGTCTGTGGAGGCCCTCGGATGCTGCAGTTCTCGTCTTTCGTTTGGGATACGCATACTCTCGAGGTCTTGGGGACGCTACTCTGGGGAGGATGTGTCTGTATGCCCTCCGAGGCTGAGCGGGCCGATCTCGGGTCCTTCATCTATGAGAATGCAGTTGAATGGGTCATTCTCACGCCGACCGTCCTCCGAACTCTAGACGCACACTCGCCTCAGATGGCGACGGTAAAGACGATCGTGTCCTGTGGTGAGCGCGTCGACTTGACCACCGTGAACGATTGGGCTCCTTCGTGCCGTTTCGTTAACGAATACGGCCCTTCCGAGGTATCCGGACGCTGTATGCTGCAGGAGCTGACAGCATTTTCGCCCTTCCCTCAAAGTATCGGGAAGCCTGTAGACTGCGCGGCGTGGATCGTATCGTTGGAAACCCCGACGAAATTGGCTCCCATTGGTACGTCAAAGGAGACGAATTTTGTCGACTACGTCAGTAGTGAATCAATCAAACCTTTAATGCTGACCGTCATCAAGGAACAATAGGCGAGATACTCGTAGAAGGGCCCGGCGTAGCTCGGGAATACCTCGACGACGAGGCGCTTACAGGAGCCTCCTTTGTCCCTCGGCCATCGTGGCTTCCCCCAAGTCGAGAATCTCGGTATTACCGCACCGGAGATACAGCGAAGTACAACGCAGATGGAAGCATGACCTTCACCGGTAGGCGAGATGGACAAGTGAAGATCCGAGGCCAGCGATTCGAGCTCGGCGAGGTGGAACGAGCTCTCGTTCGTGTCTCTGGCGTCCGTGAAGCCGTCGTCTGCATTCAGCCGCGGCATGACGACGGTAACATGCTCACCGCCGTAGTATCTTTAGCCGATGCACAGCTTCAGGATACAGCAAAACATCTCCAGGGTTCGGCCAAACAAGCGATAAGACAGGTGTCTCTGCCAACAGGCTACAACTTATCCAAGCGCCTCAGAAGCATTAGGGACCATGTATCAGAGTTATTGCCCTCCTATATGGTCCCCACGGCCTGGTTGGTGGTGCAAGATACAATGCCCGTTGTTACTTCAGGTAAACTGGATCGTCCCTCGGTTATCGCTTGGGTACAGTCGCAAGACATGGACGCGGCACGAGGTGCCCTCCAACCCTCCGCTGCGAGCGCGTTAACTGCGCCAATATCTAACGACGAGAAAACGATGCGGTCGGTGTGGGCTTCGGCACTGAATGTTCACGAGCAGAAAATCGGACGCGAGAGTAACTTCATGGTGCTTGGGGGAGACAGCATCGCCGCCATGCGAGCGGCAGGCATGTGTCGTAGGCGTGGCTTGGTCGTGCCTTTGCAGGCTCTGATGCAGAGCTTAAGTCTCGCTGAGGTGGTGTCTCAATGCGAAGAGGTCACAACGTCTTCATCCACCCTGCCTCCTACACAGCCTTACGAGATTCCAGTGGTTTCAGACTTCCCAGTTGAGGGATTTGCCGCGATTGATATTGAAGCTGTTGCCGAAGCAACAGACGCGCAGGCATCCATGGTCGCGCTGGGTGAGCTAGATCGACACGCCTTGGTCTTGAAGACTGGCCTCATCTTTGAGCCGCCTGCAGACGTGGCTCGGATCAAATTTGCTTGCGCCCAGGTTTTACAAACCCACGAGATTCTACGAACGGTATTCACTCAAAAGGGTCCGAGACTGTATCAGATTGTCTTGAGGCGCCCAGTAGACTCTCAAATACTGCCAGACGAAGGGCCTCACTCTCAACGCAATGATATCCTACCACAATTCTACGTGACCTCCGATGGACAACACTGCCATCGACTTCGCCTCGAGATCCACCACGCGTTATACGACGCCGTCTCCCTTGGAATGATGTGGAACGATATCGCCGCTGCGTACGCCGGGCGAGAGCTCTCTCGCGAGACGTCGTTTCTAGATTGGGCACGCCGGCTCACCCAGCTGGATCACTTAGAAGCGAAAAGCTTCTGGCGGGCGACTCTGAAAGGATCTCAGCTAACCTACCTCGTGCCACCGCGGCAGACGCCTGGGACCTTGAAGCAAGTTGAGCTCCGTGTCCCGCTCCCAAATCTTACAGTTCCCGGCCTGACGACAGCAAACCTCTTCAAAGCCGCCTGGGCCCTGGTCATGGGCCGCGAGGCAGGCACGCAAGACGTCGTCTTCGCCGAAGTCCTTGCCAACCGTTACAACCCATCTTTATCGGCCAGTGTAAACCAAGAAACCGTTCGCGGCCCGTGCATGAACACCAACCCCGTAAGAGCTCACTTTGAGCCAAACATGACATTTGTCGCGCTGGCTACGCAATTACAAGAACAGTCCCTGGCCGCCGCCTCGTTCGCCTATCTCGGTTACCGGACAATCCAGAAGGACTGTACAGACTGGCCGTTGAACAGCCTGTTTGGATCAGTTGTGAATTTCCAAAGTCCTGCGGTCTTGGGAGATGAGGAGCTCGACCTAGGAGACTCAATCACAGCTCGCATGATGCCTCCTGCTGCTAGTCCTCCGTCACGATCTTCAGCCCTGTGGACGATTGTGCGTCCAACTGACGAAGAGCTTGTCGTAGGCTTCAACTTTTCAAGCGCGGCTTTCGATGAGGAGAAAGTGAAGGGCTTTGCTGGGCAGGTTGAGGACTTGCTGAAAAGCAAACCCAGTGACATCAGTCCGTGGATATCCAAGGCATCTCATGCATTCAGGGGTCAGGCTTCTAAAAGTCTATCGCTGGCAGCTTCCTCTGATCAACAAGCTTATGTGAGTCAGGAATTCATAGATGAGACTCCCGAGGAGGTACGTCTTGTGGTGCTGGAAGTGTGGAAAGCCATTGGTTTGCAAATCAAGGATGATCATGCGCCCATTTTTGAATGTGGGGGAGATACCGTTACTGCTCTGTTGTTGTCCAGACAATACCGCAGACAGGGCTATGACCTCACCATTGGAGCCGTGTTAGCAAACTCGTCACGACAAGCACAGGCAAATTTGCTTTTTCGCTCCGGAATGTCACAGTTGTCCGGCTAAGAAGATGCCGCCCTTAGAGTCTGTATGTTATGCGATCTTCGATCTTGTTAGCCTAAACCACTATACCTCCCAAGCTTCCCTGTGAAGTCTCTTAAGCCCGCAGAATGAACAATATTCACGGCCCAGTCTTCTTTTCAGAGAACATGTTTGGTGATCGTGTGGTATTTTCTAAATGCTACGCTACGAAGATGTTACAAAGTAGAAGGGTATCCCTGCAAATTTTTGGCATCCGTCGCTCACAGAGTACAGTCGAACCCTGAAGGTGTGACAGACTCAGAGCCTTTTTGACTAGCACAGCAGCTCGCGAATGCATCGAAACTCGCAGCATTGCAGAGGTTGCCTGACAACTTGTCCCCCGTACCTTTACAGCATCTTTTGCCAGCCTCGATGTCATTTTCCCTGCCATTCTGCGTAGTCGCGAGACAGGTGCAGAGGCCAGCAACAATACTTGCACCTTGCAAGAGCAGGAGGCCGACAGATGCATGAAACTTCATTTTGAGCAGTATGGTAATATATGCCCGCTTGCTGTGTTGATTCCGTCTTAGTCGAGCAACATTTTGATCGGCGTAGATGAAAACATACTTTAGTAGGATATTAAACGCCTTGATGGGATGAAGAGCAAACGTCGAAGTAATTACTCGATTGATGGCTGAGCTTTTGGCAGGAATATCTCGATGAAGATGCTGCAGTCATCATTAATTCCGGCATAGGCTTCCTCATATAAAAGAATCTTCTTGCTGTCACTGGAATACAAGAGTGCTTGACTCGGTTGCAGTAACAAGGCCGGTGGGAGTTGCGTTAAGAGCCCCACTCTATCCAAGTGAAACCGAATGCACTTAGCTGACAAGGCGCTTTACGGCCGGCTTCATCCGAGGCATTGTTGTCACGTTGGGCGTACCTTGTTGGTACTGTTGGGGAAAGTCCGAGTTAACAGTAAGGCTAATGGATTCGGAATGCGGAAGTCATGTTAGAGCATTGAAAGCTTAATCTAGGTTCATCTAAATTTAGGCTACAACCTCGGGGTCGATACATGTGTCAGACTAAGGTGAGACGAACCCCCGGGTTTACCTCTTAAGTGGCCGGCCTCGCCGCATTTTGATACAAGTGGGACTGCGCCAATTCTGCGAATCAGCTGACAATCCAAGGGACAGTTTGGTTTCCCTGAATGACTTTATTCGGTCGGTCTAAGTAGGAGCAACCTCGTGATCGTTTGTGTTCTGTCAAGCATCAGGCTTCTGGGTAAGATACCGCACAGTAGCACATCTTCCACAGTGAGCATTGTGACCCAAATCTTCCAACTCCGAGGCCCTGAGAATGTAAATTGGTGTTCGAATCTTGCCTCTTGTCACACTTCAAGCCCAGTCTCAAGGACGTCTTAAGTAGTCCTTTTCATCCTCAGATGTCGAAAAGACGCTGTTCAAACCGCAAGGCACAGGTTACAGTCAGTCAACGACTCAACATCCCTTCTCGCGTGAGTTCTTTCAGTTGCTGTGGTCCATAAGTTGGTCTTATCAAATCATCAGCAAACCTCACCTTAATCATGCCAATAAGACGATATCCTTAATTCATTCTATCAAAATCGTACACAGAAGGAAACATGCTGTAAGCTTCCTTCGTCCGCGACCCCGACGTAATCTTTCAACCTCAGATCCCCAAAGGCTGATGGTAGTCGTTGTACCTCGGTACGTCAATGCCTTTGATATCGGATAGCTTTGCGATGCTCTTCGCAAAGTAATGTTCTCCCAGGCCCCAGCTGTCGATGCGCCTCCGAGTTTCGCTCAGATCATTGAGCGCATTCCCGGCCCAGTCAATTGTATCCATGCGACGAGTCCTCCGCCGTGTCATCAATAATTGCTGATCTCCTCTCCTCGCCCTGTCATTCATCAAAAACTGAGACTTGTTCCGAATTCCCTTGGGTTTCAACGCCTCTCGCAGCTCATCCTGAGAGGTCCCCATGTCGTCTGTCGTTGGGCTTAAAATGAATGCCACATCGTTGCAATCGTTGTCAGTGCAGTCTTCCAGGCGAGACTCGATGATTTCCAATAACGCGTTGTCCATGGCTTGGAACGGCTCATCAGTGTCTCCGTAGCCGCACGTCTTTGCGCCATAATCCACGTCGCCGTAGGAATGTTCTCCAATGTCGAGAATTAGGTTGAAAGCTAAGGGAAGCGACTCGTCCTTTAAATTCTGTGCCATAGGCAGAAAGCGGGCAAACCCGGCAGAGAACTCGTCGGCTGTCTATTTTCCGGGAGTTAGGCTTGGTCGTGATAAGACAAAGAGCAGAGCAAGACCTACCCAAGAGCCATTCGGCTTGTACTTCTTCAGGAACTGCGCATAAGTCTTATCGATTGACTTGATGGCTTCATCATAAGTTCTATTTGGTGACTTTGCTTTCGCCTTCTGAGCAGCAGGCTTTTTGGCCGCAGAAGCCTTTGCGGTAGTTTGAGGTTTGGTGGATGCAGACTTCGCGACCTTTCTCGGGGGTGTCTGCGACTCATCGGACGATGAGTCCGAGTGGGATCGTTTCAAATAGTTGCGTATATCCATCGCGGGCACCAGGATGTCCTGTAGAGGTGATACAACAATTCAGGGTGCAGACTGGCTTGTTCTTGTATATCAGATAAAGCGGACAGAGGGCACTGGTTGTAGCTTCTGGCGGTGGGTATTTGAAGGGAGGGACGTGTCGCGCCTTTCGCGTCGCGTCCCATTTGGCAGGGATCATGGATGATCACCACGATACGGTCCTCCCTCCGCGCCCCAGGGTCTAGCCATTTCTTTTGCTTTTGGAAAGCATGCCGAGGTTTATTTATTGGTTTCATCTCTGAATGAGTCTTGCCCGTAATAAGCGACGGGTGATCTGTGACACCCCTAATAAAGGGCCCTCAGATTGCGTTGTATTGGACCTCAATACGTTGACCGGTATGCATCGGTGATATTTCCCTTAGTGAGAAGAAAAGCACTTTCAGACCATTACTTCTCAAATTGCAGATATCAAACCAAGATTCCAGACCTCAAGATTAGACATGTTCGCCTCAAAGCCATATCCTCGAGGAAACAAGCGTCCCACCAAGATTCAATTGTGTGTTGCCCCGCCAATCAACCACTTACTACTTTTTTCTTCACGCAGACGACGTGGTTGATGGCGCACTCCGCATAAAACGTGGCCAGACTTCTTTCTATTGCTGATCACAATCTATTCCTTCTGAGCGCTAATAACAGCGTTGAAGCTCAGGCGCAGCATGATTATCAACACTCTGGAAATAGAAGCATACACTAAATCAAAGTCCTAAGACTAGTAACAAGAGCGACCTACAGTTCCAGAGAGACATTCTTTTTATGATCACCCAGGCTGGCTACACTATTAGTGTTGATCTAAAGCGACCTTGAGAATTACTCCAACACGCTCCAGATCGTATTGCTCTCCTAATTTGCCAACTTTTCACATTCTAGTGTTGCTGTGACGACTTTGATATATACAACATCCATGGCATAACCTGTCTCATATTACACACTATACTGACGGGAGCTTATCCGGCAGCGAACCTTTTGGCTGTCAACCAATGTCCAGTTGCCCTTGACACTAGAGCGCTGATAAGCCAGCTCTTGCACGGAGCCTTTGTCGAATTTGAGGACAAACGTTCCACCTCTTCCTCTGACAGGCTCAATGGAGGAAGCTTCTATTGTTTCCGGTTGGGCAACGACTCTGTTCGAGCCTTCGGTCAAGTCAAAAGGAGCTCCGGTCTTCGAAACAACACGCACTTCGAATTGTGAATCGAAGTTTCTGCCCCGGGGACACCCTATCTCAAGTTGAATTGGGTACGTGTTCAAAGGGAGTGGCTGATCCAATGACGTCAGGTTCATTGTTATGGCATTATCGGAACCAAAGTAGATCGAAGAGTCGTCGAGGCTCATTCGGGTGGTGTATATTGATCGATCTCGCGTTGTATCGTTGCGCGCATGATGCACGTAGAATAGCTCGGCTCCCTCAGAGGTACTTTGAGTGACCTCCTGAGCACCAACTCTGCTCCTTGTGTTCTTGGGGGGCGATGCCACAATGCTTCCGTGGCCAGTAGAGTATATGGGGATCTCAGCATCCGGAGCCTGTGATAGAACGGGGTTCTTGGCAGATTTTCGGAAGGGGCCCAATGGAGTCTCGGCCGTTGCGAATCCGACGCCATAGTTTGAGGCTTCGTAGTTGTTTGCGCTGTATGTGAGAAGGTAGGTTGGTTTGCCATCTTTTCCCGTGCGCCTGATAACTGTACTGCCCTCTGACCACCTTCGGTCCTTCTTCGTACCGTTGTTCTTCTCGTAATCATCGACATGAAAGTTCTCCCATTGTTGAGGGTCGGCTCCATACGAAATGACCGTTTTCCATCCATCTTTGCGCGGGGGTTTCCCAATCTCGCCAGTCCCATTATATGAAGTGATATTGCTCGGCAAGTCCGGCGCATCGCGGGCGTGGACATCAACCTCTGACGACGCAATATCTGGCATGGTTCGCGCAAATGGATCGTCCCACCAGGCTCGGTCCATCTCGACGACGATGATATTCGACTCCTCGATGTACTTGCCGAGCTTTTCATCCCAATTCCAATTACGGTACGCGTTTCGAGAGGTGTATAGGTAAATACGGCCGTCCTTGTCAAAAAAGATGTTTGGGTCAATCGTAGGTATGTAAGTACCCTTTGGAGCTTGCTTGCCCTCCTCTTGGGTCTTTGGTGGCAGCATTTGTTTGTCGTCCATGATGAGATTGACGTCATGGTAATCGGGGTCGAATGGATAGTAACCAATGGGCTCCGACTGAATCTCTTTGAATGGACCTGTAGGAGATCGCGAAACGGCCACTCCCAATTTCGATGGTTCCTCAAATTTTGAGTAGCGGAAGTGGTCTTTCGCCATATCTTCGCGCAGACGCCCTGCGAAGAAAAAGAAGTACCATCCCGTCTTTGCGTTGTAGTATGTTTCAGGAGCCCATTGCCAATCGCGGGCCCAGCAAGCCTGACCACCATCGATCTGTTTCATCTGATCATCGTAACATGCCTTTAAGACGCCGCCTGGGTGTTTGCGCCAGGTCGAAAGGTCAGGGCTAACGTAAATTGCAAAGTGGTAACCATCGTCAGCACCCTCGGTTGAGTAGGCGTAATACTGCCCGCTCTCCCAATCGTAAAGGACGTAGGGGTCTGCCGCGGCATGGCGGGCTGAGTTGTAGAACTTAGGATTCTGACCTTTGCCATTGTTTGAATCCGAATCTGCCCAAACCGACAACCCGAGAAACAACGCCCATGAAAGGGCAGAGAAAAGCCACATCATGAGCGACGAAGGCGGGAAAACAGACACGCGGAGCAAGCACTTCAGAGAATGGGACCAACAATACAGGAGGATGTCGACATGACTGTCCGTCTTATACCACGTTCCATCAGCACTCTCTTCCCCTCTTTCCTAATGCGAGGTATTCCTGGGGGCCCGAGCAGCGTGATCCTTCATCTCATCATCCTATTGAACCCCTGGTCTGTTGTGCAAACAAGGTCCGGGCCTACAAGAGACCCACAATTTCCCCTCACAGATCCGACCTCTTGAACCGGTCAACCTGGCAAAGTGCGTCATTAACGACTCCGAGTATCGAGACTTTTGATTGCAGTTCATTTCTGGGGGTGTATTGCAGTGGGGCTCGTACTGAGACTTTGTTAACGTTTGGTTTGCGGAGCTCGCTACCTGCATCTGTTAGCCGGGATTTAGTTGGATGCCGAAGCTTGATTTGTGCGCATGAAAAGCAAAGTCAGATCTGGTCCGAACTTCGCGAAGCTGGCAGGTAACATAGGCAAGGGTCCTAACTTACCTAGGATGTAAAAGCTTAGTAGCCGTCCCCGCGAGTACAGCTAATCTACAGCTAAGCCCAAGTGTGATTAAGAGCTATTGGGGCGAACGCAAGACCAAACTGTTGAAGAGTCTAGAGAGCAGGGTCTTTGGCAAAGGTAGAACGATCCCGGTATTCGCCTTGAAGTCTCTCGAGATGGTTTGCTCGCAGTCTTCGATTCAGAGTGGGGTCTTCTTGGTCTGTTCACTCAAGAGGTATTTCTAGCTCAGATTTCAACTTCGTATACAACTAAGTGTTGGCGGCTCATGCAAAGCACCAGTTCTCAATCGCACCAAGTTGTGGGTTTCTTGAAACATGACAAAATCACATGGTATCAGAATTGACGTAGAAACCATGAGTTAGTAGCCTTGGGAGCGTTGAAATATATCTCCGGAGCAACAGACAGATCGAGTTGACTGCACGATAGGTGTCAAAGTGTGCCATGAACATGGTAAGTCAAGTTGGTGGATTGGGCTGCAAGAGATTGAACCACTATTTTTCGTAAGCTTAAGCTACATGATCTTGTATAATGGGCTGGCATCTGAGTTGGCATCTGGGCTCAGGCTGCTCGGGAAGTGTTCGGCGTCAGTCACGGCGAACCCCAATCGTGGGTAGCAAAAACACATCATAATCATTCGTGGTTACTTTCATGGTAGCAGAAGTATGTGACACAAGAGGTTAATGATGTTTCTCCACCACACCACATATTGCCCCTCGCAGACGGTCCCGAGAACAACTCTAGCCTTTTACAGCTCGTAGCGTGGAATTTCCACCGTACTATTCGACTTCAATGCGTCCTTGATCGCTTGGCAAACAATTAAAGCAGCCAGACCAGCTTGCGGGGAGCAACTGGGGGGCTCTTCACCGCGAATGACCCGACAGAAGTGGGCCAACTGCAGCTCAAATGGTACACCGTCAATAACAGGAACGTCCTGCTTCTTGAGCTCGGAGTGCCATGACTTTTGGGTGCCTTCGTAAGACCACAAAGACATGTTCGGCACGCTTAGAGAGCTCTGGGATCCGAAAACGTGGTAGAAGTTTTGGCCCGTCTTCGGAATCAGGGGGTTTTCGCCAGTCCCAGCTTCGAAGTTGTACGGCGACGGAACGTTGTCCGAGATGAGGAAAGTACCCACGACTCCGGACTTGAATCTCAAAGTGAGGGCACCTCCTTCCTCGGCTTCGTAGCCTCTCTCAGAGACAGCCATCTCTCCGTGAACTCGTGTGACGGGTCCGAGGAGGTGATGGAGAAGATCGACTTCGTGAATCATGTTGATGAGAATGACGCCACCATCTTTGCCCTGCCTCCATGCAGTGGGACCTTCAAAGTAATCCCGCGGCTTGTACAGCGTCCAGAGTCCATTGATAGCAATGATCTTGCCCAGGGAGCCCGAATCAAGCGTCTTCTTAGCAGCAATGATGTATGGGTTGAATCGTCGATGGTGACCGACGAGAGCCTTAACGCCTGTTGTGCGCAGATGTTCCAAAAGCTCAGTGCCACTTTGAATATCAGAGCTGATGGGCTTCTCGATGAGAGGGTGCACTCCTTTGGAAGAAAGCTGCCTGGCGACGAGGGCATGGGTATGATTTGGGGTGCAAATAATAGCAGCCTGGGGAATATGAGAGGAGCTCAGGAGGTCATCGACGGTGGCATAATGAGGCACATTGAGCTCAGCGGCCAACTGTTTGCCGGCGGGCGCTGGGTCGACGACAGCAATCAGTTCGGCATCGGGACTCTGTGTGACTGTTTGGGCATGACGCGGCCCGATCAGTCCCACGCCGATGACGGCGAAAGGGATCTTGGGTGCTTGAGTGGTCATGACGAGGTGAACCTTTGGCGACGCGATGTTTGATTATCAGCGAGAAGAAGACGCCAAGACTTTTGATGGTTGGAGGGTGGATGTTTGAGCTGGTGAAACCCGGAACGAAGTTTGGTCAAAACAACGGTGTCTTGAGTCGTGGGGCATTTAGGGAAGTGGTTGAGAATCCGGGGCCCCGCAAATCAAGACGCTTGACGCGGGGCATGATCCGGCAGTGTGTTTACCCGGGTGCGGTTGAGACCAAGGCCGCGCCGGGGAAGTTGGTGATGTTCCCGTCAGTGCTCCGAGCCGGAAACTTCCATTTCAAGGGTGCATCGGCAGATGCGTGATAAGCGAGGACCCGGTGGAATCAGCTTAGCCGCGACATGGCTGCTTGCTCCGGTTCTTGTCATTAGCCCCCCGGAAGATTCTGTCAAAATGAGGGCAAAATACATTCGTCCTTGAGGTGCGACTATGAGGAAACCGAGCAAGACTTGATGGAATTACACTTCAAGGTGTTCAAGGGTCATTTTGCATGTATTGATTACAGCCAATGAGGGCTCGTCCCTCGTGCTGTATGTAAGTGCAAGTTGGAGGTGTTGTCCCTCAATGGTGCAGACTGATTTCTTTCCAGCTGCACAACTCTTCTGCATGAGGTAGTATACGAATACCTATTGAGGAAGAAGTCGAGTCATCGCAGCTTGACGTTGCTCCTATCGTCATGATCATCATCATCGCCATTATGTTTGCTATTGTCACGTTCACCGTCACATCGAAACAAACAAAGAGATGATGCTTGCTTGCTTGCTTGTGCTTGCCATCCATTGCCAGATGCCAAAACCAGTTGGCCATCGCAAATGTGGCCGCCGTGATTGGCCAGTTGGGGCGAGATGGGCTGCATTCTTCGGTCGGGCCCGCGCGCAGTGGAGGACCGGTGCGGCTGTGATTGGCGGTGGACGGCACTGGTGGGTGCCCGTGGTAGCGCATTCCACTCACTGCAGTCACAACCTGACCTGCTGGAAGGAAGGCGGCGGTGACATCAAGCTGGGATGCTCCCTCCTTTGATCGACAACAAACCAAGCGCAAACACCAACGACCCTTTCCCTTCCCGCCTGTGTTTTTCTGTCGCAACTTCGCTTTTCGCTTACTTGACCTCACCTCGTCTCCTCCTCTTCCGCCGGTCTGATCGTACAATCTTGCCCGTCGACACGCCGGCAACCACTTGCAACAGTCTTCGCGCCACAAACTAGCCCCGCGTCGATTCACCCCGCCTTGCGACGACAAGAAAACCCTTCTCCCAACACCTCTCCCTCCCTTTTGCGCATTCCACCGGTCGTACACCATGTCCCCGACGAACACCAACGGCGAGGCCAATGGCGCCAACAGTGCCAACAGCCCCTCGACCGCCAACGGCGCCGTAGACATCAAGAGTGAATCAGCAACCACAACCCCTCCTCGCCTTGTGGGCCTCTACTAACCTCCACTAGATCTTGGCCATGTCGAAACACCAAAGGTTGAGGGAACCTGGACGGTCGAGAAGGCTCTGAAGGCCTCGCCCGGTACCTCGGCACCTACGAACTCGGGCTCGCCACTGGCATACTTCCACATGCTCGAGCGTCTCAAGACCACGAAGCGCGAGGGTTGGCGTCGATTCGGCATCGCGAGGTTCGCATCATCCCTCTGTGTCTCTGTATCTCTGTATCGTCTTTTTCAAGCTGACCATCGTTTCTGCAGAGGAGAGTCCATCGCCGACCACATGTATCGCATGTCCCTCCTTTCCATGTGCTGCCCGCCGGCGCTTGCCCCCCGCATCGATCTCGCGCGCTGCATGAAAATGTGCCTCATCCACGACATGGCAGAGTCCCTGGTCGGTGACATCACACCCGTTGATGGCGTCCCCAAGCCCGAGAAGAACAGACGCGAGGCCGAGACGATGGACTACATCACCAAGACCCTGCTGGGCAACTTCAACGGTGGCTTGACTGGTATCGAGATCCGTGAGATCTGGCAGGAGTACGAGGACTCCAAGACGCTCAACAGCCACTTCGTGCACGACCTCGACAAGATGGAACTGCTCCTCCAAATGATGGAGTACGAGAAGCGCGGCCAGGGCAAGCTCGACCTCGGAGAATTCGCCTACGTCGCCACCAAGTTCTCCCTGCCGGAGACCAAGGAGTGGGCGGATGAGCTGCTCAAGGAGCGGGAGCAGTTCTGGGGCGCCAAGGACCATGTCCACGGCGAGTCTGGCGTCGACGGGGGAGTCAAGGTCGATACGCGACAGCAGCAGGACGATTACTACAAGCGTGAATAAGCCGGCACTTGAGGATTGGGAGTTGTGGCTTGTGACAGCAGTGGGGGCAGCAAGGAATTTAAATGACGGATGGATGGGATAGAATGATTCCCCCTTGGCGCTATTTTTTTGGGCTGGACAGGAGAGGGTGGTTAACGGATGGGATGACGGGGACACGACTGCGATCACGTTGGAGGGATGGATGTCGTGCGACCGTCGACGTGAGTGGTATCCGTAGTCGTGGTCGCTTTCGCTTCACGCATCATGATGATCATACTTGCATTGCATAGTTCGCGTCGGGATCGGGGACGGGAACAGGCGCTTTGAGGGGATATCCAAGGAAGAAATCATCAATGGCCATGAGAGCAGCTCAACATCAAAAGCTAGAGCACTATGTATGCATGACAACAGGGAGCAGCTGGCAGGCTGGCTGGACAGGTCTGGCCAAACTGGCGAGATTGGGGAGGCGGTGTGGTTGTTTGTGCCCCTCTATTTACACGCTACGGAGGCCCTCTGCGCATGGGCCCCGGGCGAGTACCCCGGCAACCGAGACACGCCTTGCCTGATATGGACGGGCGTTTCCACTGCCCCCTCCGCTCGGGGCACTGAATTTAGGAGGCGCCGGAAGACCCTGAACGGCCGGGCCAGCGATGGGATAAAAAAGAATAAAGAAAAATTGTTGACATTGACTGACGGACTGCCGGTGCGATGCTGACAGTGTCAAGGTGATGCCACGGCCCACGGGTGGTGCGGACAGACAAATACAGTGGGTTCATTCTACTTTACGGGGGTTTGCGAAAGACACGACGGGGGGACCTGACGGGACGCGACTTTTCCTTAGGTTTCCTTTTCTTCCCCTGGCGCGTGCAGCTGGGTCTTCTTGAAGGAGAATCTCGACATCCGTCTTTTCAACCTTGCCGGCCACCGACCTCCGACCTCCCATTTTTAGAGTTGCGCGGAAATCCGACGAACTCTGTTCTGTCCTTGAACTCCCCTCTTCACTTCCCACCGGCGCAATTTGTTCTTTCTTTTCTCACCAAATCTGTCTTTAGCAGCATCACCTTTTCCCCCCCTTGCGTTCCTGTTCCTGGCGCATAACGGACTCGACGTCACCCCAAAACGCAACGGCCACGCTGCTGCTCCGGAAAGAGAGGGGGAAAAAAACGCTCCTCTTCCTCTTCCCGCGTGTTGATCACTTTGCGCATCATCGGCCATTTGGCCAACCAGATTGCGACAGCGACACCGCTAACACCAACGGGGCCTCCCGGCACTGGGAAGCTTGGAAAAGTTGGAGCACAGGCAGCAGGACACACCACCACAACCGGGTCGAAGCTTGTTGGTTCCCGATAGCTGCTCCCTGCTACCTATCTGCCATAGCATACCTTACCTTACCCCAAATCCTACCTCGCGCAGTAATCATAATCGCCTACGCCGCAATTCTCCAACCCGCCTGTCAGCTACCCGACGGTAAATCCTGTCGTCACGCGCCTCGTCAACACCTCACGGAAATCCGTTCACCTCCGTCGCCTGTCACCCTCACCCTCTAGTCTGACAGCGCCTGTCCGCGCACATCACCGACTGCACGGCCTGTCGCGCGACCAACGGCCAAGAACGCCCACCGCGAACACTCACCCGGCACATCCACCTTGATCGATCATGACCTTCTCCCTCTGAGCTGGGCGACAGTGTGAATCACCATTCGGGCAACTCATCTGCACCAAGACCGAACTCTCCCTCGACCCTATTTTGTTGCAGAACCCTCGACGCCCTCCTCCGACATCGAACCCCTTGTTTCCCTTGCTTCGCCAAATAGCAAGGTACCTACTCCGTCTCAAGATGGCGTTCGAGTATCGCATGCCCGGCACCTATTTCGACACGCAGCCCGGCGGCGTTCATCCCGGCGTCTTTCGCACACCCTCCTCTCCCTCCGCGAGCTCTTCGCTCTACCTCGCAAGGTCCTCCGGTAGCTATCAGTCAGAAGCTGCGACCCCTCACGCCCAGCGCATGCGAAAACGCCGAAACGATGTGTCTCGTGAAGCTACCCCCCTACACGAGTGGTGCGACGGAAACATGAACCTCGACAGCTCCGGCGATTTACCTCCAAAATACGATACTCCCCAGGCGAACCACGAAGCTCGTTATACTCTGGCCGGTCAGCTCGAGACCCCAGGCGTTGTTGCCAATCCTCCCTTCGAGAATGGTGCGTTGGACGAGAGCATGTACTCGGATGCCGATTACCGAAGTAAACTTGGATCAAAACGCCCTCACGAAGAAATAGAGTCCCCGGTCTCCAACCAGCCAACAGTACTTGTTCAGCCTCAAGCTGTCGTCGAAGGCTGGAGTCGCTTTGCTTTCAATACTATTGGTGGCGTCGTTGGCAAGGTGTGGGAATTCTGCAGGACTGGCGCCTTCAGAGGCTTCTCTGCAGGAGGTGGCAAGGCTTACACCATCGACGGCCAGAGCCTGGAAACGTTACCAGAGCCCGAGGTGGAAGCTGAGCCCAAACCTGAACTTGGACAACAGCCTCAGCCCCAGCTATCCGAGAAGACACCCGATTTCGGGCTAGAGAGCCCCAGACCGAGCGCCCCTGTGGTTGACACAACACCGCCAGGTGGCTATCCAACGCCTGGATTCATGAGCACCAACCCCTTCGCGTACCAATTCCAAGAAACCCTTCCGTCCGAGAGTACACCGTCGCGTCCGGCGGTGAAGCGCAGACAAACCAGCGCCGGGAACCATGATGAGCTTCGCAACTGGGTTGTGGTGGATGAGCAGGCGGCGGCTAGCAGACGGGCACTTCCCCGGCCGGCCTCGCGTCCGGTCTCGCGGAACAGCCGGCCATCAATGGTGACTGGGCGCAGAATCAGCGTCCCCAAGCCACGCCTCAGCTCCACACCGACGGCCCAGCGCAGGCCAACCACCAGTCACAGCAACATCTCGCACGCTGGAACTGCGGCGCTGTCACCCCAACAGCCTGCCAGCTTTGCCGGTGCCTGGTCGCCCGAGACACCCTCGCAGTTTACTGGTCCATCGCCGAGTCGGATTCCTCTGCCTGTCCAGCCCGCTGGGTTGGGGCCCAATCCGTTCGCGAGACCGAGCAACCCTAACTTGCGCCAGAGCGCCATTCCCTCTCCTGTACAATCCAGCACTAGCCCTTATACTCACTCGCATCGCCGCTCGCGCAGCAATGCATCAGCAGCACACTCACGACGTAAATCGAAAGATTTTGGCGTCGACTCAATCCGCGAGAGCCCTCGTCTTACTACCGAGGCCAAGAAATTGGCAGCTAGGAGGGTCAGGGACGAGCAGGATTCCGATGCACGGATTGACGATTTCAACCAAAGACTGAAAGAGATGATTCGCCAGGGCCGAGAAGCACTTGGCACCAAGATTGAGATTGATGGCGATGACGGTTGCTGGATGGATGATTAAGTTTGCCTTTGGGACTGGTTTTTGGGAGGCGTTTTGCTACACACATACTCACATCAGGCTTCGACTGACGGCGTGGAGTTCAGGAATGACATGACGCGTGATACCACCTATGGCATATTTGCGCCTTTGTTGGCAGGAGTTTTTCGCCTTTGCTTGGCCGTTTGGGAGCCTCCTCAGGTTAGGGGAGCCAGAAACTTTCGATGTAATTGCTAGAGTAATGCAATGCTCGTGGTTAGAAATAAATATCTCGATGACGACTTATGCCCCAAAGATGCGCGGGAAATGACAACACCTACTCAACTGTGTCCATTGGCTATCCTATCGCGATATCGCAGCTTGTCATTTCAGCTTGCCATACCCCTGACGTCGCATCCTGATAAAATGACGGGATGCCGTCTTTCTTGCATTACTGCTGCAGCTTCCTATACATGCCGGGTATCCCAGATTCAGCCGCCCCTACCAGCTTGGATCTCTGTCCGAGAATATCTTTTCCTGGTCTGCACCGCAAGAATGGCACGTCTCTGCTCTCAACGTCTTCAGTTCCACCTTACACTCCGGCTTCTGGCAATGCTTGGTGCAAAACCAGCGCGGGCAACCTTCCACCACGCATTTCCTCCTGTCGGGGTCGTGAGAGATCGTCAAATGATCGCGACCGCAGCGACATTCCTTCAGATGACAGTCGCGCCCTGCGTGGCCGAGGAGACCACACATGCAACACCGGGCCTTGCACATGATCGCATTCCGGTGATATTCACTCCCTGGCTCGTCCTTCTCAGTCTTTGGGCACTCTTTTGTGCAAAACACCTCGCATTTCTTGACAAGATGCCGTTGCGGGTAGGGGCGACATTTGCAGCGGTTGCGCGGTATGCTCTCGCAGTCGTAACAGGCGTGCCAGGGCTGGCCGCAGTGGCCACAGGCATCCTGACAATCCTGAGTCCAGTGATATGGAGAGCGGCAGTTCATACAAAGCTCCGGGAGTTCCAAGCGGGACAGTGGCAGTGTCGCATCAGAGCTGTCGGGGTGCGCGGGAATGCGGACCTGGATGCGTTCGACGTCTCCGCCGTCATACATCATAACTCTCTTAATCATGTTGGCCATATCGAGAGATATGCGAACCCACGTCTGTAAATTATCGTCATAAAATGACCTGAACATGTGTTAGCTATGCGCAGCAATGTGGGAGGGAATTCTGCAGTACGCCGCCATGATGCCGAAAGCGAGCAGATGAGTCGTCACAACTGAAGCGGGGTTCACCGCTCGACTAGGCTGCAGCTGTGAGAGACGGGTCTGGAACAACACAGAGGCTGATAAGGTTTTCGTGGCACTGGGTTTTTGAAAGGTTCAATCTGTTCGATGTCCTCTCAGGTTACTGGATTGTGGTCATTGTGTGGATCGACGTTGTGTGGTGAAGGCCGCGTCGGGCAAGCTCGACTCGCGACTCTCACCGAGGCACACCGGTGGGCACGTGGAGTACAGTGTGACACTGTACACATCATATTAGGGGCTGGTGATATCCATCCTACGAAGAGATTCTACTTTCCAACGTTGTCAAACAACATCCTCTCTTTCTAGTTACTGGCACTTTTTATTGCTTTTGAGGCATTGAACAGGAGTTGTGCGGGACAACCCTGATCTTGTCGTTGTCAACGATGACTCTATTACAGTGGCTGTCGAGTTGCTCACACCAAGACAGCCAAGAAGGCTATGACAGATAATCCGCGTCCTCAAAAGTTCAATTACTCCAATATCTATCTTTAAAAATCCCATGCTGTTCGCTGGTTCGAAATCTTACTACATGAGTTCCATGCTTGCCGTTAATTACGAAACATGCAAAACCTCCCTCCAAGTATGAGTGAAAACCCTTGCAATGATCCTTTCCCATGTATCCCAAGGCCTCTACCAGTTGTTTAGTGTTCAAATCTGATGCTCTTGCAAAAACATGGCCCCAACAAATGCTAGTGCGGAAGATATGAGTGAGAAGCCATGGCTCCACCCCAACCCTTCAACGTACGCTTGCACAACGGCTTGTGCGATGTGGCTGTCAGTGCGATCAATGAAATCGACATTCGAGGTCGCCTTCTGGATAATCTGCGAGGAAAAGATCAGAGATCAACTTGTATCATCGGAGAGGAGAAGTCAGTAGCCTACCGTCTTGCGCACAAGCGCATCCAGACCCATCCCCTTCAATAGCTCCTCCAGCCTCCATCTCATGGTTTCCATCATAACAGCGCTGACGCTAGAAAGCCCGATGATCATGCCGATCTGGACAGTCAAGAATATGCCCGAAGTGATGGCGGCCTTGTGCTTCGGGTTGACTCCGGCTTGTGCGGCGATAAAACCAGCTGACTGCACCAGACCTGCGCCTAGTCCTCCTGGCAAGATGTATAATGACTCCCAGACGTTGGTATCGCCATGCCATCGCAGAAGAAGAAGGACGTATGATAGTGATGACGCAAGTGTCGCAAGAACAAGAAGATACTTGTAGCGGCCTGTCCTTTGAAAGTCAGTAACAAATGGTGTACAGGCACGTGTTTAACTTACTTCTTGATCAGATACCCAGCCATGATACCGCCGATGGCATTACCGGCGACTGCAGGGAAGAGATGTAGTCCCGCAACGGTGTTCGACACTCTTTTTGTGACTTGGAAGTATAAAGGCACCGAGAACATGAGGCCGAGCTGAGCAGCGACTTGAGCACCGGTGATGAAGTAGGTAAGTACGACGTCACGATGCTTCAGAATCTCCAGTGGGAAGATGGGCTCCTTGGCCCACCATTGTTCTGTAGCTGCGAAAAGGCCACCAAGAACAATTGCAGCACCAAAGAAGATGAAGATGAGGGGGTGATTCCATGGTACTTTGGTTCCACCAATCTCTATGGGGAGCAGGAACGCGAGGATAAAAAGAGCCAACAGCCCGGCACCCAGGAAGTCGATTCTTGCAAGAGGGCTCTTCTTTGGATCCTCGGGTTTTGAGTCTTCCGTTTCGACTTGATGTGCGGAGCTAGGCATTCCCTTCGGAAGGAAGAGCCAGCAAAGCACGACGGCGAGTAGAAAGATAGGAGCCTGCCCAAGGAATGACCAGCGCCAACCGATGGTATCTGCAAGCCACCCTCCGAGAGGACCACCGAGACTACGGCCAACTGTGGCGGCGAGGTTGAGGCCGGCTTGCCAGGCCGCAACATCGCGCAGAGGCACGAGATCTGTGATAGTTAGCTACGTGAATCTTTCCAGCCCTCAAGAACAACAAACCTGTAATCAGGAGCAAGCCAAGCACGTTCAACGACGAGCCGCCAGATCCAGAGACCACTCGGCCGACCACAACTTGCCACATGGTACTACCAACACCAACCACGGCACTGACGGTTTACTGTCAGCTTCATTCACGGGATTTTCTCCTGTTAGATCATCTTGGGTCTTACCATCCAACGGCAAACAACAAATATGCCACCATTAGCAAGGCACGGCGGCCATATATGTCACTCAGCTTGCCATACTAATCTTCTATTAGTCACACCTCAGCCACGGTCTCGGAAACACACCCACCAAAGTCTGTGTTGCCGCTCCAGCAAGCGCGAATGCTACAAATAGCCAACTCGAATTTTCAAGGTCGTCGAATTCTGAAGCAATCGTCGGATGCGTGGCCATAACCAAGGAGCCATCGGCGTTTGCGGTAAATGTCCCAACCAGCAGGATCGCCACGATCTTGATGACAGCCGATGCCGGCGTGCCCTGGGATTTCGTCTCGGTATCATTCTCGGCACAAGCGGGTGCGGTACGCTCAACGTCAACGTACGCCTCATCGACCTCTGTCGACGGTGTGAGATGCCATGGAAGGAATTGACCGTCCGAGTCTCCGCTCGACGATGAAGATGTCAAAGAGCTCTCACCTGACGAACTTGATTCTCTTCGATTGCGCGACAACAGTGGCGACCGCTCGTCGACTACTCTCTCTTCCGCAGTCTCTTCTCCTCTACTACGTAACGTCTCTTGGCGAGCCATGTTTGATGGATCACTCGTGTGTAGTAGGATTGTGGAGGAGAGAAAAGAGAGAAAGAGCCGCAAGCACCGGCGCGATTCGAAGAAAACCAAGGTGTCATCGGCTACGCAGGCTTCGACTCAGCTGGGATGAACCTTTTCAGAATTCCGGGGGACAGCGCATCTATGCAAACGTGCGACCCGCGACCGCTGAGATCCTCAGGGACCCCATGACGTCGGCCAATCAGACTTTCCACAAACTCCGATAACCTCCTTCCCAAGCTCCCGGTCCCGTTGACTCAATGTCCGTCAGAAGAATTTGAAGAATCATGCTTGGCCCAGGAAGAAAAGTTGCCGATAAGGGGATCCAGGCTGGGTCCTTGCTATGGCGACATATTGCGCCATTGCCGCCATGCAACTTCGGTCATCCTCGGCCCCCACACTACCGGGAAGCCGGCGGGGCCCGGTCATTCCCCGGCCGGCTCTACGCGGTTATTCGGTGCAGGAGGTCCACATTGAGTACTGCAGAAGACGAGACTATTGTTGGTTCTACAGTCTAGAATCCAAGGCTTGCAGCCGCATGCAGGGGCTACTCCATGGGTTGGTAGCGAAAGTCTTTCCAGGGGCAGCTTTCCCCTCCGTCGGCGGATCTCGCCCGTGCAACGGAAAATATGCCTGCTTCTCATCGGACCCGGATCTCGGAAACATGTGTCTATATGACTCAGCGGTGCAGCTGACTTGCTGTTGAAACTCTGCCCAACATTGACGGCTGCCGTTGCGGTCCCGATGGCATCGGCCAACTTCGCGTCGCGAGGGAGGCAAACAGAAGCCATGGCCAACTTGATCGGATCACCGAGTCCGTTTTGTTTCCTGCCCCCGATTCTCTTTGCCTGACATGTGTGAATCAAACATTGACCAACAGGGGAATGAAACGGGCGTGGGGTTGGTCAATGACGGGCGTGCGGGCTGCCCACGTTTCATTGAACCAGACTAGTAAGCCTCCCACATCTCCATAGCCAGATGATGGGCGGCTCGTCTGAAGCTCTGTTGCATTTCAGCTGAGGCGAAACAGCGTGTTGGGCTGCATCTGGCACTAAGGCCGTTGAGTTTTAAACGTGGCTAGATTCATATAATCGAGTCTTCCAATGCAATAATTCCCCTCCAAACCTTTGCTTGAAAGGTATACACGGCAACAAAAGAGAGAATTCTCCTTGTTTCTCGATTACCTAGCATACACCTATAGCTTCACCAGATTCCTTGGCAACTCGCTAAATTGCTGGGCCTGTTCAAGTTCACGATATTCCCGACTACGTCTCTCACGTAGAACGATGGACTTGGGGAGATGGCCTTGTTGTGTAAGTCTGTTATGCTGAAATGCCATACATTCAACTTGTCACTAGTCTTATCACAGTTTTGACGGCTTCGTGATGCTTCATGCCGCCGTACGCAGAAACGAGATACGCACTATTGCCCGGTCCGTACTTCCTTTACCTTCATGTGACTAATTTTGCCATTGCTATTTAGTGTGCCATTAGGGCTGTTCCAGAGCCAAACTAACGAGGAAGAAATCGAGAAGCTGCCTGTTCAGTGTGCACAGAGGCTTGTAGGCGTCAGATAACGACCAGCAGACCAGTTCATGTTGTGTATCGATGGCCGTTTGCCATTCCTCCAAGGACCATGAACGCTACGTTTGGCACACATGACTTGGCAATTGAGATCTCGCAGAATATTAGACCCATTCACCCCAATGGAGTCCCTTCCAGTATACAAGGCCGTCTCGCTCGAATTGTGGCCCTTCTGCGTCTACAAGATAACCCATCTCGCAACGCGAGTATTCGACTCGAACTTGTTGTTGCTGATAGAAACTGTCGAATCTCGGTGAAAGTGCGTCGCGCAGAGTGTCCACATTGCCTTGCGGATGCAGTGAGCGCCAAGGATGTGTGCAAACGGAACCTTTGCAAGACTTCGTTACAAGTAACAACGAGTCCAGACGAGAAACGATCTTCTCAATAGGTAGTCCAAGAAGCGATGTTGACTGGGACTCTTCATGCAAAAGATTGTTCAGTTGGCCCGGGTCAGTCTGTACCAAGCTTGTTAGTCTCTGGCTCAAGAAGATCTATGAACAACTTACATTGAGGTCGTAAAGCTCATGTTCGTTATTACACCACGCTGAGTAGTAAAGGTTATACTCCTTTGAAACTACGCGCAGGGCCTTGTACGTGTTGTTGAATACGAAGGACTCGTTCCGACCAAAATATCCCCAAGGACCCTCGGAGGCCGCAAAGCCCCAATATTCAACTGTAACATGCTCATGTCTTGTCTTTGCCGCATCACCAAAATCTTCCTCGGTCAGGGGAATAGCTAGACCATCGAAATCGGCACGCAGAGGTGCTTGCGCTAGACTCATGATCGTAGGCACCAGGTCTTGATGTGTTGTCACAATTTCGGCGACTTTGCCTTCCGGGACTTGAGGGCCCCGAATGATGAGAGGGATGTTGATGTCCTCTTCATAGCCACACTCCTTTCCAGGTTGGAGGCGGTGATGTCCGATATGATAACCATTATCAGTGGTATAAAATATATATGTCTCTTCGAGAATACCATATTCTTCCAATCTGGAAACCACAGAATCAACCAGCTCATCGACCGCCTGCAAAGCTCGAAGTCTGTTCCGATAGAAGTGATCATTAAACGCGATATTTTCGGCACTTTGTCTCGGTTGTTGCCGAACCCAGTTGGCTCCAGATACCTTCTCGGGATTGAAGTTGTCCGTTCGCGGGACAATGGCATCGGGGAAAAGATGGGCGTGCCTCTCGGCGGGAATTGGTGGCGTTGCAACGATGCCATGCGGATCGTGAACGCTGCCATTGCTGATGACATTGGATTGGACATTTGAATGAGGTGCAACAGGCGCGATTCCGAGGAAGAAGGGCTTGGACGCAGCCACGGCATCGTCAAGGAAGTCCAAAGCCTTGCCAGCCAGAACATCCGTACTGTATTCGCCTTCATGGCTCACCGGCGGATCCTGGTTTCGTTGAAATGTGGCGTTGAGGTAAGAATAAGTGAACGGGTCCAGCAAAAAATCGGATCCAGTCCATCCAGCTGCGTGGGGACTGTGGTAGTTGTCCACGGTATGAGCATTGAACAGTTTTCCAGTGTAGTATGTATCGTAGCCCACGTCCTGGAGGAGTTTGGGTAGGTAGTTCTCATTGTGGCCCTCTGCCACGAACTTGGGATATCCACCTGGGTTCAGGTCAGCTTGGGCGCCATTGGTACTAACTCGTGAACACTCACCGTAAGGAGGAAAGATGTCAGTGACATTGGTGTTGTGCGCAGCTTTCCCTGTCCAAAGAGTCACTCTTGAAGGACAACAAACTGCTGTCGTACAGAAGTGTCTCTTATACAGGGTGCCTTGGTCGATCAAATGCTTCTTGATGAAGGGGACGTAATCCAGCGAGTTCATGTGCAGGTCTTGATCGTCAGTCAGAATGAAAACGATGTTTGGCCTGCGCGAGGAACCAGAGACAAGAGGAACTTGATATTCATCTGATTGGAGGAAGGAGCCGGCGCTGACCGACAAAATGCCAGCCAACACCGTCAGAGATTTGAGAGACATGATCACAATAGGGAGGCGTCCTGCCTGGCGAACCCCCAGCAGTGTTTGTAGCTGGTCTGGCTTTGAATGTGACCGAGAACGAGACACTTTTCAGAGAGCTTAAAACTCTTTAATATTTTGGGTCTAAGGTAGGATGGTTTTTGATAGCTCCATCATTCCGAGAGCACTCATCGGAGTTGGACCCCGAAAATGCTTCCCAGCGTCAATCCCAGGCCTTGACAACATCCACACGCATATGGCGTGCTTCCCTCGGCAGTGTACTTCCAATACCGCCTTCCCGCCGAGCCACTCAAGGCCAAGAGCGATATCCGCAACATATCCAAATGCCGGCATGGCTGCGACACTCGCTGCAAACCCCCCACGAAGCAGTTCATCCATTCGGCTGGGTCTCTGCCCCTTGCCCTTGGGCCTCATAGAGGGCTGCGTCGATCAATATCCTCCCAACGGCGCGCTAATTCTTCCGATTTTTCTGATACAATCAATTCCGATGTACAGACGTTAGGTATTGTTGCCCACAGGCATTCGTCGGAGCAACAAGTGGCAAGAATATCACCCTGTACCATACAAGAGGCTGTGATCCATCAGCACTCAGCATGATTGACGGATGTAATCCGCTGTGCGCACATGCTCCGGGGTGACATCCGAAAGAGCATGAAATGATACATGCGGTTGCATCGGAGTACCCGTTTCTCTGGCGTAGGGCGTCGATGCGGCGGCTCGCAAGCTACAACGGAATCTGCCGGTCTCGTAAAGGCATGCCGTAGGCTGGACAGTGTATTAATATACTCGTTCACCGAGTTATTCCGAACTCGTTCATCCCCAGCGCTTGCAGTATCGTTTTCTGTCGGAATCGTAGTCCTCATAGAACCCACTCCACACGTCTTGGTTGGCGCATTGCCGATGACCAGTCGTGACCTCATTCTCTGGGCAACCGGGGAGAGCAGCCTCCCACTGTTTCTTCGTGCGCGGTCTCCAAGGCTTTGGCATTGGCCAGTCGCTGAAATGCACCAGGTAAGACTTTGACACCTCTTCCACCGGATCCCAACTGTCATCGTGCTGGCCTAGGTACTTCTGATGGTCATCATCGCGAAACTCTCCCGTCAGAAGGGCCAGTCGACGGTGAGGCAGTATGCTTGCCGTATCCTTGAACATAATGTTCACCAAATCCATATCGAGCTTTCCGGACGACAGCGATTCTTCGATGAGTCTGTCGTGCGTTGTCTTGTTCGGCTCGATAAGCATGACATGCGAGCTGAGCACCCGTTCAGCTGCAGGCACATCGTGTTCGTTCAACCAGTATGCTTGGGGGACAGCCACGCTGGCCCTGGGCGATTGAAAGAAAGAGTCCATATTGTTCAGCACTTGGCTGTCAGAGTCGAATATCATGACTCGCTCGTACTCGGTAAGGTCGAAGGCATGAAACTTGTTGAGACTGTCGGCCCACGTTGCGCTCGCTTTCGTTTTGGAGATCCGGACGTAGTCGAATGGCCTCAAAATGACTCGGGGATGGTTGGAACGAATGCTGCGAATTGCTTTTGCCTCCGCCTTCTTCCCTTCCGTCCATGAAGAGGGGAAAATCAAGACCATGTCATTTTCGGCGCCGAATTTCTGAAGGCGATTGAAGTTGATGACCTGGCATCGTCAGCTCTGGTTGCGCTCAGAAGAGTACATGGTGAAAACATACAGCGTTGCATAGATAATCCAAGTCCGTCGCATATTGCGCGTATGCGAATTTCGAGCTGCGTTCCTGCGACTTCGCGGCAGGAGTGTGTTGGCTCTCGTTCCCCGCAAGATAAGACGAGCCGAAGATGTCTTGTTCCCAACTCAATTGGTGGCTTGTCAAGAGGACAGTGACGAAGATGGCGCACGTCAACGAGACGGCAACGGCACGTCTCAGCGATGGGATGAACATGTTCGTCACGGCTGGGTGATCATATTGCTTCTCCGAGGTTCTTCAGCACGACAGACAGCGCACTCTGGTGCGACAGCATATGCGGGCGGCGAGCTTTATCTCACATTTTCAGCCCAAAGGAATGGTTCGCGACAACAGGGAAGCTCCCCTTGGCGGCATGGCGGCATGGCAAGTGGAAGGATTGGCAGGAAAAGCTAATTATACGAGGCTGGGCCTCCCACGGCAATTGAATCCCGCCTACCCCGAAGCCGTCTATTCTGACACTTGTGTATGGCTTCAACCAGGGTCAAGGCAGTCAGCAACACCAATTGACCTCGTATCGGATGCTTGGGCCGGTGGGGCCACTGCTTTTTCGGGGTGTCTTGGGGACTCTTGGGGTCTTGGGGAAGACTTGGGCGGTGACTAGCGCACACCATACTTTGGTGCGGAGTGGGCTGAGACTGATTCCGACTCAATCGCAATTGGCCAGCCAAAAGCCTTGGGAGATCTTGGGAACGCTCGGCATGGTTCGTGAGCCAGAAAAGAGTCGGGATCAACCGTGGTAGACATGATGATAGACGAAACTAAAGTGAAATGAAGCGACCCAACACGACTCAAAGGGGGGGTCCCACAGTCCACTGTACCTAGTGTATCCATCGACGGATATTATTCGTAGGATGCATTAAGAGCGACGATCCCGGTGTGTGGATTTCCGACAAGAGAGAGAAACTTAGAAAAGACAAACCATTCATCTTGTCGGACGAAATGTCCGCTCATCCTAAGGGCCTTGCGACGAAAGCAAAAGACCGCAGCGCAAGGCAATCGCGCTTGTTGCACTAATCGATGCACTCGGCTGAGCTGACAACCCCATGTCTTCACCTTGTGACATCATTGAGTAACGGATAATGGATGCGAAGCTTTCTGCCAGTGCCGTGAGCCGAGGAGAAGAACAAACCCCTGCTTCGTGGGCTGAGTGATCTCCAGGCTAACCTGCCAAAGACCCGCTATGGAATGGCTCCCCCACGATACCGTGATACCAATCTCTCGCTTCCGTCGCCTACTCCGAATGGAGCCGAGGGAGACATCCGCACCATTGACAACAGCCCAACGGTCGAGGCGGTTTGGTCTTTGATTGCACATTTGAGATCAATTCGTCGCTACGGGATGAAAAGTGAGCAGCAGCAATCGAAACGGAGTGCGGGCAAGCATTACAAACTCACAGTGTACTAGTAAGTATCTGCACTCGTCAATGGCGGTGTTGTTAAAGAATACCTACTCAGTTGCCCTATCTTGTCTCCATACGAAGAAAACTGGCCTCGACTGCTGTTGATCCAGCGGCGAAGAAACATGCATCTGGATGGGCAGAGTAAGCTCCATGATCTCTGCAAATGCGGGATGCGCAGCCACAGTATCTTCGCTCACTTTTAGTTTCAGAGGTCGACACGCCTTATCATTGCCGAGTCTGCCCAAGAGTAGAGAAGCAGGACCGATTCTGTTTAATGCTGCCCCCCAAAAAGTTGGTATAATACATCATGCCGGGCTTGCCTACACTATGCTGGGTATCCCCGTTTCTCGCTCTCTGTGAAGAAGATGACCATACGCCACAGCTTCTTGACCATATCCTCCGCCTCATCATCCAAAGCCTATTGGTCAAGTTAGCTGAAATATTCTGGAAATATGGGGTTAATGCACGTACTGGGACAAGCTCTTCGACCAGATCTGAAGGTTTGGCGTGCTTCCGTAGATGCTCCTCCACCACCTCGACCAAAAGCTCTTCCTGGACGCCGAGATACTCAACAATCTTCTTCTCGACAAACGGTCGAAGCTTCTCGCGGATGATCGCATCGTCCAAGTATTCCCACTGCACCGCCCAATTCCACAATCCCTCCTTCTCGGACGGGATCTCCTGTGCGAGTGCACGAACCGCCTTGCTGATCTCTTCCTCTGTCATCTTATCCGCCGCAGTAGTGGGTTCAAACTGGATGGGAATCAGCTGCCTCTTGGCCGTGCTGTCTTGCTCTTCATCATCAAGGAGGCCTTCCACTTCAGCAACAGTCCGCCGCTGCGGTGCGGCACGCTGGGCTTGAGAACGTTGAGCAGCAGCGCCAAGAGACAACTTGAAGGGCGCAGGGGCGGAAACAGTAGCTTGCTGGCGTTGCTCCATCTCCTGGGCCTGCTGATCAAGGAATGAGTCGGCAATACCACGCGCCTTCTCCACATCGGCAGCCTCTCTGCGTTGCTCGTCCTCCTCCGCTTTCCGATCTGCCTCGTCTCTTGCCTGTTCGTCGGCTCTCTCGATCTGCCGTTTTTTAACCCATGCAGCATGATCACGGTAGTAAAGATGGTTCTTCCGAGACGCTTCTCTCTCGTCATCCCAAGCTTTCTCTCTTTCGAGTTGCTCCTGCACCCGCCTCTCCAAGCTCTCCTCTTCTTGGAGCTCGCGCTCCTTTTCACGCTCCAGAGCTGCAGCTCTAGACCGCTCTCTGTTGACCCACTTGCGTTCGGCTTCGAGATACATCTTTTCGTCTTCGGAGTTTTGCTTAGACAGTTCTCGCTGATACAGTTCTTCGTCATCAGCGTCCGTGTCCTCGTCCTCACGGTTAATTGAGAACTCGGTGTTGGAGATGCCACCATTGACGAAAGAAGTTGTCCGGGTGCCATTCTGGCCCCTGGGGCCAGAAGGAGCATTGGGGACACCACGGGGTCCAACAGGAATGTTATTCGAGTTGGATGGAGGTGGTGAGTCCAGTCTGGATGGACGGGAAGGGCCATTGCGGTTTCGTTCCATCTCTTCCATCTCCTCTTCGCGCTTCAGACGCTCCATGTCCCGCTTGTTGCTACGCTCTCGGAACGCAGCGATCTCTGCGGCGACAACCTCCCGCATCTCAGCGGGAATGTCTGCGAGTTCGTCATCTTGAGCTAGAGGAATATTGACAACCTCGACGTTTTCACCGGAGTTGCCCATTGCAACATCACCTTCGCCATCGATGTTCGTTGCGGTCTTTGGGTAAACGAGGTCTCGAATTACGTGCCGCAGGGCGTCTTTCGCAGCCTGGGTCCTTGAATCGGCACCGCTGTCATCACCTCTTCCCTCTTTGTAGGATTCGATGTACTTCAGAGAGTTAGGGTCGACCGTAACCTGGAGCTTTACCATTTCGACTCCTTCGAACTTGTCGTCATCTGCAGATGGCGCTTCCGCTGGGCTCTGGCGTTTGAGAGGAACTTCGGTGTCCTGCAAAAGATCGGCAGCCGTCGAAAAGGAGTCGGCGTCTTCGTATTGAGCAAAGCCAAATTTGGCGCCTTTTCCATCAGACAGAACTGATGTTGCGGCATCCCATCTCCGGAGCTTGCCAACGGCATTCAAGATTCTCTCGATACCTTCGTCGCCACCAACTCCGTCTGGAATCTTGTGAACAAATAACGTGCGCAACTTCTCTTCGCTGGTCGGAGGGACGAGCGATTGCATGTGCTCTCGAGCAGCGGCTCTTGACTGGTCAAAGCCACGGTCCATACCAAGTCCTTGTCTTCCACCGCTTGGGGTATTGCTGTCCTTCCTTCCCGATTCAGGGGCACCTGGCTTAGCGCCTATGGTTCCCAGACGGATGACGGGTGCGCTGAAGTTGATGTTGGGGAGGTTCGCGGGAGCTTGGAAGTTAGGCGGCAGGCCGCTTTGTCGGTTAGCTTGTGCGTTGTTGGATTGCTGGACACCGGGAGGTGGTGCCATTCCCGGAGCGGAAGACATGCCTGGCGGAGGGCCTGAATATCGGTCAGCGTAGGAACTCGATGGCGCAGCTTGGTATCCCAAACCTAGACCAGGTGGAGGAGCCATGCCAGGCGCGGCGTTGGATCCCGGGAAGCCGCCATAGCTCGGGGGAGGCCCGTAAGGGTTTCCTGCTGAGAGATTGAGTGAGTGCAATTTTGAATTCGAGAGCTACGAATGCATACCTCCGTACGGGTTGTACGACATGACGATGCAATGCGAGTGGTTGCTAATTGAATGTCGCTCGGTCGGTGTGTCAATCCGCAATCCGTAAGTAATTCGAGGGTCTAGTAATAGTCGCTACTACCTCGTGTCGCGATCGAAGCCGGCTGCAGGTAGAGATTGCTAGGACTTGATCTATCCGTAAGGTCGGGCGGCAGGCGCAGAGTATGGTGAAGGCGGAGGGGGGACCAGGTCGAGCACGGAAACGAAGACGAGGACGACACTGACGACTTGAGCTCCAGAAGCTCTGGGTCGAACATTCAAAATTCGGCGCGAGGCCAACGCGAAGCAGGCTTGGTCTCGCGACTGGTCTCTGATTGGTCCAATATGTGGAGCGGGCGGGAGTACGGCGACACGCTTATCCGAGTGAGCTCCTGTCCGAGCGGCGGGCACTGCGGGAGGTCCGGTACGTACCTCAGCAACTTTCGCATTTTCGAGGAAATCTTCGCGGTCGAGCTCGTCGGTGGTGACATTTTGCCATTCTGCGCAACCCACGCCAGCGCCCAGCAGTGTGCTCTCCCGCTTGGTAGAGTGTCTAATCGCCATGTAGGACCACGAACTCGTGCCATTGATCAAACATTCACTAATCCTTACATCTTCAGGGCGTCCGAAATCGGGCTTTTGAGCAGGAGACTGCTCACCTCATGCTCCCTCCGCAACACTTCACTACGATCATCACAGCTGGCCAGCCAGCCTCTATGGCTACAGCCACGTACTTTCTCGACATCCCGCACTTTGTTCAACAACGAGTCTCTGTTCGGTGTGAAAGGTCCCCTCGCAGAGAACCCCCAATCATCGACGACGGCCTCCTCGACATCGTCCTCTCCGACAGCAGCCGCCAAAAAGAAGCCCCACACTCCTTTCGCGTACGATGCCACTTCCTCAAACTTCGATATCTCTCAACTCATCGCCATGGACTCCGACGACTTCATGATGAAGCACCACGCCGCTGGTCAGCAAGAGATCGAGCTCCGAACTCGCCCGCAAACAGGCCGCACAATCCACGTCACCGGCTCCCGCGACTTTTCCGCCGCAATGAAGGCCCTCGATGTCTCAACCAAGAGGAACAGGATCAAGTCCCTTTGGCACGGGCAGAAGTTTCACGAGCGTCCAGGAATGAGACGCAAGAGGCTCAGGAGGGAGAGATCGATAAAGCGATATAAGGAGGGTTTCGTCGCGACAGTGCGTCGAGTGCAGGAGCTGACAAACCAGGGCTGGTAAATTTTGGAAGCTGTAAAATGGTCTGGCCCATGAGTTGCGAAGAAACGGAATTGCCCAAGCAGCCTTGGAGTGTACAACATTTAGCAATCATAGAGCTTTCTCAATACAGAAGCTCAAATGTATTATGTATGGGTCATGAAACATATCTAAGTCACTATACATCTTCGGCCTCGAGAGGTCTTCTCGAAGGCGAGGGAGCTGGGCTGGTCTTGATCCTTGGCCGACTCCTAAAAACCGCCTCCATATCCTCCTTGGCCATCAACTCTTCTGCGAGGATGGACGCGTCCGGGTCCAATTCTATCGTTTCCTCTTCAACGACAGGGAATTGGCTGCCTTCCGTCCTTGCCCGCGCCCGAGATTTCTTCAGTGACCTTTGTCGATCCAGCTGTGCCTTTTGGCGGGCAGCCTCAAAACCTGCCATGCTTCGTCGTGTACGAGACATTAAATCGTCTTCGTCTGTAATGCTGATCGTAAGGTCTTCGTTGTGTTTGCTGGGTGTTGATAGAGGTCGTAAGGACAAGGTTTCATCCTCGTCATCGTCCGGATCATACCGTACCCCACGTGAAGACCGCGCCATGGACAACCTGGTTCGTTCCGCAAGAGATAACGTATGTCTAGGTTTCGGACGTTTGACGGGAGAAGGAGAAGCATTGTGTATGTCGTCAAGAATTTGGTCTGCCAATTCCTGTGTGGGTGACTTCGGGGGTTCTGGTTCAGGTATGTCTTCTTCACTGTCAAAAGAAATAACTGGCTGTTCCGCCGCTAACGGTAGAGGACTAGGGGATCGGCTTGGAATCTTTTGGGTGAGTTGATCCTCCTCTGGTAGTGGCGGAGTCGGTGGGGGTATAGATAGCTCGTCGTGTGTGTCCGGGGGGAGCACTGGAGGGCTTGGAAGTGGCCGCGGTAACTCGACATGGCGTTTGGCCTCTTCCGAGAGCTGGAGAGACGGTCGCCCAAGGCGTCGTGATGGCGGTGCTACATCGTGTGTCGAGGGCCGCCGCGGAGCATGTTGCAAAACGTGGCCATCGTCCTCCAGCTCGCTCAGCTCGGATACTGTTTCCTCCCCGAGACTCTCCCTCGCGCCCGAAATTGTTTCGGGCCGCTCTGGTTGGCCTAGGCGATGGGATCGTGGCGGCCCAAACATTTCGGTGAAGTTGATCACTGGTTGAGCGCCCACCTGGGCCAGGTCCCTTTCGCATCCGTCGAGTAAATCTGCATAGTCAGAGGTCAAATGGGGTCTCCTTCTCGCAAGCTGCTTTCTTGGGCTCATTCGTCCAAGGCGGAGGCTCTCATGCTTGTCGAAACCGAGATCGATACCTCGTTTAGATTTTGCTGGGCGGGACGTCGAGGGAGTAGGAGCTAGTGGCTGGTCGCCAAACATGTTTTGTCGGAAATGCTGCCATTTCGCTAGTCTCTCCTTTTGGGTCTTCACCCGGCCGTCGAGTTGCTCCAGCAGACCTTTCCCGTGGTCTTCCAGCTCGGCAAGACGACCGGACTGCAGACGCCTCCAAACTCGATCGAAAGGTGCTGTCAATACGCCATCTTTTCGCGCATTTGCATCACCGTAAAGCAAGGTCTCCATCCACTGTTCGTTTCCAGCCCAGTTGTTGCGGACCGTTCTCCAGGTATCCAGCTTCACATCGTCCGAGATGTCTTTATGTTTCGGCTGCTCTCGTGCAGCCTTGATCTGCTCTTTCCGGTGCGCAATGTTCTGTTCCTTGAGATGCAGCAGCTCGGCGAGGCCACGGTATCGTTGCCTCGCTGCATCCTTTCTTCGCATCGCATGTCTAATGGATACCTTATGAGCAAGAGCCAGTGTCACCAGCTCAGCGCGTTCAGCGCTGTATCCACGATTTTCCAGTGCCAGTTGTTGAGCAATAGCGGGGTATTCTCCCTCAGCTTCGGCAACTTCTGCAACCATCTTTTTGAGAACAGCCGAGGAAAAGACAGCAAGGACCTCTTCTAGCCGTTCACCCCTGCACTCATCCAACATTGTCTTGCGTACGACGGCATCGCGGCCAAGAACTCCGGTCTTTTTGGCCTGCTCGAGGCTTCGTAAGAGGGCGGCACGCAGATTCAAGGATTGGACATGGTCTCGAGGAGGGAAGAAGGGCTGAAGCTTCTGCAGCATAGAGGGTCAGTAAGGTTCAAAGGAGGGCGGTTGTTGACGTACATTTCGCGCCTCTTCCGGGTCCCAGAGCACGAAGAGCTGGTAAAGCGTCCATTCTACGCACTGGATGCGCTTCTTCTGCACCGTGAAAGTTTGGGCGTCGAAGTCGGGCCAATCAGGGTAGGAAGGAAAGTCGAGCAGACGAAGATTGGTGAGAAACAGATTGACATTGGAGGTAGCATTGGGCGGCGGAGCTACAGAGGTGGTCACAGATGCGCCCGAAGCCTTTGCTGACGGGACGGCGCGCGGTTGCCGGGATCGGGCAAGCAGAGAATTGGGCGGCAGAGTCGCCATGACGACATTTTGCTGCGTGAAGGCGGTTTCGAGAGATCAGAGTTGAATCTTGTCTTGGCCGAAGTCGTCGAAGAAAAAGGGGGGGTGGGTGGTTTTAGCAGGCGCGTGTCGCATTGAATTGACGCCGATTGCAGGAATCGCATTTGTTGTGTTGATGGTGGGGAGAAACGGCGGTGGAGGGATCAGCCCAGCAGCTGCCTCAACTGCCTTGCAAGTTAGCGGTCAAGGATCCCCAGGTCGCTGTTAGTCGGGCACCTGCCCAGGTGTGACGACTCACCGCGGCCCCACCAAGCCTACGCTGGTCTCACCTCGGTGAAGCGGCCGCAGCTTGTACAGCTTTAACAGAGGACCTGTCAAACGGCCAATTTCTAGCGCATGTCTGTGCCAAAATACCGGCTCCTAAGTCGATGGCAGACGCCCGATTGGCAGCTATCCGCCCAACTTTGCCTGATCCAGCCTGCAGCGTTGCCCTGGCATCAGCTCTTCCGTCGCGACGCGCTATTGAACATCCCAACCCGATTTCAGTGTTCTGGACGCGAAGGTTTGGCGGCATCAAAACCTCGCAGAGAGTGACTACTTGATTTCATTCACGTCATGCCATACAGTATGCGATTCGCATGATTGCGCATGAGAAAGCTACTCGGCCTCCCCCCTAGAAACCTGGCAACCACTTTCGCATACGACGCTGTTGGCCGCCGGACCCTGCCAAATACTCAACACCGAAAGTCACCCTGCTCTACCTTCAATAGAGCAGAAGAGTATATTCTTCATGAATGCGACAATCTCTGGCCTAGGATTCGGATTTCTCTATCCATCCAGCAAATGCTGGTCTCTAGACCCGGAAGTATTGTCGTTGCGTGCGACAGCAACGATAGGGCATGAAGAGACAACGCTAGCCTAACGTTCCTTCTAATCGTGATTCGTTGGTGCCAGTGATTTGATGTATTTGATCGCGAATTGGTTATCAAAACGTAACTGATTTTCTTCCTGGGCTTCAAACACGCATATGCATCGGATTCTGCATCTTCTGGGTCTGAATGCAACGACAACTTCAAGGATCAAGTCAGCAGAATGGCAGGTCATCGCGTTGGGATCGAAATTGTGGTCATGTCATTCGATGCATTCTCGATATGAATTACGTTTATTTGGTGAGAAATGTCTAATAGAAATAATGAATGTGAAGATTCCAGGTTTGTTAGGTAATAGGTATCCAGCAACTCAGCTTGGCACACATCTTGGCCACTCCAACAGCAAACAATCCTCTCGATTTTCAAACCGCCCTAGCCGGGCATACAATTGGATGAGTGACCGCTCAAATCATATTTATTCGGTGATTCCTCCGTCTCAGACCGAGGCCTCTTCTGCCCTGATGATTAACTATTGTTTGCAGCTTCGGGAGCTGCCTGTGATACCACAATCGCCAGCCAGTCATATGGAATCTCGAGCCGTCCATTACACAATCCCCCGGCAAGCATCACTACCACCTGAGATAGACAGCTACTTTCGTTGAAAAGTGTCAACCTTGCTGCGACGCCATTCTCTCACGAAATGCACGTTTATATTCAGCCAGCAGCCCCTTGGCTGGGGGAGCACATAAAGTCTTTCATCCGAAACCATGTGCCCGATGCCATCTTCATCGACGACTTTGACGACTTTCCTTCGGACGCTTCAACAGTCTTTCAGTTCTGCGATGGGTGGGCACTCAACCGCAACTTCGCCGCTCTGAACACTGCTGAAAAGGCTCTGATCAACGCTTACCCGAACAGCGATGCGCTTGCTCGGAAGGACTATCTCGCCAGAGTCGTTGACTTCTGGACGGCCAAGAGACCGGAAAGCATTCTCAAAAAGTGTGTCCCGTTGACAGTCCGGTTGTCTCTTGACTATGCCGAATATGTTGACGATGCTTTGACTGCGGCTGACGACCTCACGCTTTTGTCCTCGCTGGAAGACAACGAGGACAAACCAGCCTCAGAGCGTGAGTGGTGGATCTTGAAACCGGCACTGGTTGACTGCGGTGCTGGTATTCGACTGTTTAGTACGATGGAGGAGCTTGCCAGCCATCTCGAGCTCGCGGAATACGAGATTGATGAAGATGACGAGAGCGATCTCAGCTACCAAGCCATGCTTGAAGCCAATGGCAAGTCGGAAAATGACACCACCCGCGACAACTCTGAAGGCTTTTATCCAACCCTGTCGACGCCTGGGCTCGACACCTTGGACGCACTCGTAACGGCAACTGGAGAGTTGGCCTTGAAGGAGAATAAGGACAGGATTCAAAGAGCCCCGAAGCCGCAGTATGTCTTCAAAGAGGGAGGCAGAATTCCCTCGGCCCAGATGCGCGAGTTCGTGGCTCAAAGATACATCGTTCACATCCCGCCAATGGAGAAGAGAAAATGGCATGCTCGAGCCTACGTCCTTGCAATGGGCCGTCTCAAGGTCTACGTCTTCAAGGAGATGCTCGCATTATTGGCCGGGGAGGACTATGAGCCCCCTTGGCTGAACCCCAGTCTCAAGTCATCTCTGACCAACACCGCCCTTCAAGACGAAGATGTTTTTATAAACAAGCAATCGATGAGAGACTTCTGGTCGGCTCCAGACGACTTGCTGCCTGGTGACTGGAAAGCAAGCGTCTTTGAACAGATTTGTCACACCTCGGCTGAGCTATTTCGTGGTGCAGCCCACACCATGGCGGATAAGTTCACAACGGTGGATAAGTGTTTTGAGCTCTTCGCCGTCGATTTCCTCATTGACACGGATGGCACTGCGTGGCTTTTAGAAGTGAACGAGACGCCAGCATTCTATGACGTTGGAATGGCTGGCCCCTTGGCCATGCGCCTCATGGAATCCGTCATTTACATCGCCATGGAGCATATGGGCAACGCCAAACTTGAGGAAGAATGCAATGCCCTTGCGAAGAAACGAATGATTCAAGTTTTGGACGAGACCGACAAGCTGGCTAAGAGCAACATTACGGAGATTCTGCCAGAGATTTAAATTCCGGGTGAAAAGCAGGCGTTTCCGGCATGTGACAATGGGGTTTGGGCACTTTGCAAAGACACGAACGCTTCCAGGGATTCGCGACGGCCATGTTGCGGTTGTCAGGGCATTATTGAATGTCGATTGGAGAGAGGAGCCCAAAGATCCGGCGACCCCGGATTCAAAACATTCTAGAAGCCAAAATCCACTCTATAAGTTGTATCATAAATTCAAGCTTGATCCAATTGATCCCCCGCCTGATTATCTGGAGATCATTGATCGTCTGTGAAACTCCTCGCTACGGCGTCAAACATGAAGTGTCGATCATAAGGCGAGCGAGGGAATTTCGCCAGTGACAAAACGTCGCAGCTGATTTTGGTTTCTGAACAATACTTCGAAGCCTAATTGGCTTCGCAGCCGAGTTTTACTTGTCATACGACCTCTGTTAAGGTGCGTTACCAGTGGGGTTGTCTCGGGTCTGTGACAGGAGTCAACTTGGCCGCGGAGAGGCAGGGGCCTCCTGTCAAGTTCATGACATCGGCCAAAGCCGAATGCCATCCCATCTTAAACAAAGTCACATATACTGAGGGTTCATTCCAAGAGCTGTCAGCTCTCGTATAAATAAGCCTTCAACAACCAGAAAGCTTTCGGTTCTTGTCTTTGTGCATTCCATCTGTGTGATATACTAGCTTAGTCTCAGTTCTCGGCCGGCCGATTCTCTTTAATCTCACATTCTGTTTTTACAGTATCATTTTTAGAACTTGTCAAAATGAAGTTCTCTATTCCTCTTGTTCTTACTGCCATTCTCGGTCTCGCAGCTGCCGCTCCTCAACGCGGTGGGAGCAGAGAACAACAAAGAGCCGACCGCAAAGCCCTTCAAGACCTCGCTGGCACAGATGTTGATCCCAATCTTCCGAACGGAACAAGACTTCTCGACAATGGCCAAGGGCAGTGTGTTGCAGTTTCTGGAAAGGCTGTCTGCTCTGATGCTTCAGGAGCTACCTTGTAAGTTATCTCAGGAAAACTCGGAAAGTTTAGAGTATGACACAGGTTCTGACATCTCCTACAGTAGCTGAAATTGAAATTCACCCTGTCATGCGGAGATTTCGGTAGAAACAGTCATCAATGTTGGACGGGAAATATATCCTCTTTTCCTTCCGATTACCGCGAGACTACTTGCTCTTTGTGACAATTCGTCGTCCTCGACCTGCTCTTGTACCACTGCTCGGATTCGTCGTCTTCAATGTTTTGATCAACTTGGTCTTGCGGGCGACTAGATGCTATATTCCCGTACTTTCGCTCTGACACCTTTCGAGTCCAGTTTCGGATAAGGGGCGAGCCACGCGTGGGCCATTCGCACGTCTGATTCCTCTGTCTCGAACAGCTCAAAGTCGAACCGCGCAAAGACTTGGGCGATCGCAATGTGGAGTTCCGCCAACGCCAAGCTAATAATCCAGTTAGATGTGATTAGTCTATACGAAGAGTTTTGCTTACTTGATGCCCAAACATTGCCGTGACCCTTTGCCAAATGCAACAAAGTACCGCTGGAGCTCCGGCTTCGCCATCCAGCGTTCCGGGATGAATGACGTCGGTTCGGGAAATAAGTCGGCGTTCATCAAGACGTCAACGGTAGTCATCGAGACCGGTGTATTTCTTGGAATGGTCCATTCACCATATTTCAACTCCGTATCAGGGGCAAGTCGAGGATCCCGCGTCACAACGCCGTGGGAGAGTCGGACTGATTCTAGTACACAGGCATTCAAGAAGGGCAATTTCTCGAGTTTCTGCCATCCACTGGGCCACCCAGCGGCAGCAAGCTCTGCCCGCATCCGTGCTGGGATGTCTGGCTTACTCGCAAAGTGGAATGTGGCCACCGCGAGAGCCCAAGAAGTCGTAATAAGGCCCGCTGCAACCATCAGCTGTGCCTCGTCTCCAAGCCGAGTATCCGTCTTTTCTGAGTCTGGGAGGTCGCTGTGGATGACTTCGTAAAAGATGTTGGCATGATCTATCTTTGTTGCTGTGTCATTGCTCCCGGCACGGATCTCGGCGATTCGAGCTCTCATACTCTGCGGTATGCTGTCAGAGCCGGTTCCTCACGAAGCGATACCTCAACTCACCTGTCTCAAAGTGACTATGGGCATGATTTCCGGCTGTGTTGCTTTCACGAACCAGAGCGGGAGCGCATTCAATATCTTGAAAACAGAGGGAAATTGCTGCCCAAGGGCGCCGACGCTTTGAATTGTACGGAAAGCCTCGTAGAGCGTCTTCTCGAAGCCGGGCGAGTCAAGATGGTCATACGACTCACCAAAAGCGTACTGAGTAATGGTGTCTGTGGTCAATGCGACGAAAGCACGGTCAAGCTTGACGACCTCACCATCGGCAGACGCGGCCAGTTTGCGGCAGAGATCATCGACTTTCGTCTTGATGACGGATTCGAATTCGACTATTTTGCTTGCCGCGAAGAACGGGCTTAGCGCTTTGCGGCGAATCTTATGCAACTCGTGCGGAGATGTCGAGAAGCTGTCGGTTGAGAACCCGAATCGGCCAGCCATAAAGTCATACTTGTCACGACGACCGGCGCGAGTATAGAGAGTGTCGAAATACGACGGATCATCTATATGCAGTTCTGTGGGCGAGATACGAAGGATTGGCCCTGATATGCGTCAGGGGCTAGCTTTTCCACCGGCGGGATAGTCCTGCTGATGGACTGTGGCACGAATGCATTGAAAAGGTGTGGCCAGACCAGCCAGCTCATCATTCTCGCACTATCAACAGCGACCTTGAAGGCATGCACATACCATATCTCCGATGAAGGTCTTGAATATGAGTCGTAAACTTGCCGGGTTGGACGACATCATGGTAGAACTCGTACCACGACGAGAGAGCTGCTAATTTGGGGCCTGGAAACTTTGCTAGCGGGGAGAGAAACACGCGATAGATGGCGATGCATGCTGTATAAGCGAGCAAAAGAACCACTGCGGTTCCAAAGTACGAGGCTGATGTTATCAGTAGGGGCGCCATGATGAGTGCGCTTCGCGCAATGCTGGTTTTCGGGTGTGTTTGAGAGAAAACACTCTCAGAAACGACGGCGGATGCGATGGGAACGCGCCTGCTTCTGATCACCCTGTCTCCATCATCCTGGGCGCAGCGATGGTGCTGTCTCTGGCGCTAATTGAAGCTAGCTGCAACCGGATGCAACCTCACCTTCCCTGTCCGTGGCCCCGGGCCGGACCCGTTGAAGGGATTCCCGTCTTGCTAACGAATCACGGCACCTTCATTGGTCCAGAGGCTACACAGCTCCAGGCGAGGTCGCGAGGAGCGTCCAAATTCGGAGCATTCTCCGCGGACGAGTATTCTTGGCGTTGAGCATGGCACCGCTTTCCGAAATACTCCATTGTGTAAACGGGCTCCTTGCACTGCATCTCAGCAGCACCCTACCGCAGGGCTGATTGTCTTATTGCCGACTCAGGAAGACCTCGAATCGTTGTTGTGTGGGACTACAGGGGCTGCACGATAGGTGCTATGTGAATAGGCTCCCCAGGTATTGTAGTTGCTTTGCAGCACAGAGGAAGCTGGGTCGATGGGTCAGAGTCGTGGGCACAATATTGAATAAATAGTTGGAGACACAAGCTATGTCCTGCTAGTGAAATACGTTAGCAGTGGTCGGTTTAATCTGTCCAGGGGTCCTTCATTGCAGCATCACGGTGCTATACACATCTGCTCGTCAAGGGATGCAAGGTAAGCCGTAAGCGGGTTACTTGCCTCTACTTTCCCTAGCATTTCAACCTCCGAACCCATCTCTTGATACCTTGTAGTTTGGAGATGAGCCGGAGGATCGATCGTATGACCCCCCATGTCAATATGCTCGCATGCCACTATCGTTTGCCTAGCATCGTCATCAATAGAGACAGTCGTTTAGTGGCTTTTCCATGAACTGAACTTCGTGGATTAGCGTCAAATGGGCTGTCGAAGACTCGAAGCAAGAGGCAACCAAGAGTGTGAAGCGGGGGCCACTTTGCGATGACCGAACAATAAACGTTGATAGTGAGAATACGCTAGGAACACGACTGTTCATTGCACAATAACGTGTGAGAAAAGCAAGACAACATCCGCACCGCCAGATGGATTCAGATACCCCTGAGGACCTCGGAGCGGTAAAGATTGCGCCGACTGCGGTGCAGCTGTATTCCAGTTACCAACGGGTACTGTACTCACGTCGATCCATCTTCAGGCCAGACAATTTACAGGCCAGACTGTCTCCAGACGGATTCCTGCGTTTGCAGAGTCGATTTCACATAAGCCCAACAGCCGCAGCCGCCTTGGCAACGGGCGCAACTGGCCCCCGGCTCTACCAGGTCGGTTTGCCGGTCCGGTTTTGGCGTCTAGTCAGTTGATGATCATCCCGAGGCACAACGGGATGAAACCGGAGGACCGCCTGGGGATCTAGAGTCGCTTCTCCGGTCAGTGTGGAATAACAAGCGTTCGTTTCACTCAAATGAACCTTGTTGCACGTTTGCGTGGAAGCCGCGGAAAAAGAAGCATAGTCCTCCTGTTCTCGCTTTCGTGAGATTGACCACGACAATGCTCAAATGCTCTTACTTTGCAAATCGCGAGATGGGGGTTCCTGTAGATGATCCAAAAAGAGTCGCAGATTGCGGGAAAGGGTGGTAGTTTTGCTTCTGGGGAGCAGGACTTGGCGCCCGCTCTCAACTTCAGAGTTAGACTTGACGCTCTCGTCAGGAGACTGCTGGGTTTGATGTGTTCGTATTCGGTCGCTAGGCGCCAGCTGAAAAAGGCAACAGGAAACTACCCGACGAACTCCCGCAGACCCCTGAACCGAGTGTGTAATCGAATGGACAACAGTCAAGACGAAGGGGAAGAAACGCAAAACCACAGTTGCAAACACCGGCAACGAGATTGCCATTTCTCATCTTCAAATTTTTGCAGTATCAGACCAAACGGCAGTCATGTATGAGAAGGAGTGAGTACAGATGGAGATAGTCGAGGTGACATGGACGGTTCAGAGGAAACCAATCCCAACGGCACGTCTGCGAGTAGGCAACAGTCTAGACCACATCAAGAACCGGAACCAGAAATAGCGGCTGCCCAGGAACCACCCATCCAGTCATCGTCTCAGAAACCGCCGGATGGAAAGACTCCTACCGCAAGCAAGCTCATCCGAGGAATGGCCGATCAATGAACGTTGCACGAGCTTGCCCCTTACTCGAAGGGTCATCTGAACCGGTCTTCCTGGAATTCAAGTTCACAAATTGCTCCGCTATGGCGTCGAACGTCCAGCCCGCTTTGTTTTTGTCATGTCTGGGGACAGTTAAGCATAATCGGGCGGAGGAGTTGTGATCAACGATAATTCGCCCGGCCGATTCGGTCTGTCCGGAGGCATCAGGCTCGGTATTCCTCCGAAGGAAAACATACAAATGACGCCTGTCAAATTCAGTCTAAAGCCGAAAATGTGCAAAGTTGCTGTTTGTTTGGTCGGATTGCCGCCGGATGACAAGCGACAAAACCATATTTGAAGGTGAAGGATTATCGGCTGCAAGAAGCTGCGAGTGGACACCTTGAACTGAGCAACATGATTTGCGCAAGAGTCGATCAAATCATCAAACGGCTGGGAAGGCCGGTAGGGATGTCATTTGTCCAACGCGCCAGTCCAATGGTTGGGAAACCGGCCATCTCGTCTTGAGGACGCGGGCATTCGTCGACAGGTTTCCACCACCGGGAGGCCGGTGGTCATACGGGATGAAGGCCAGACGTGGCAGCGTTTGGGGCAAATAGGGTTGGAAGCAAAAAAGATGGGCGTCGACCGGGGACCACTGTGTAGGTTATTTGGCAGAAGTAAAGAATTGGAATTGTCTTGTTCTTTCTGCACAGCCCTCCTAGTCAGGCCCCTTGAGCAAACGCGGGCTATCCCGGTGATTGGCCCGGGGCCTTGGTGACAGACGTGGCAGGACGTAACGCCCTGCTCTGTGAACGAGGTAAGATGACTTTGAGTGTTGGAAAGACAAGGTGAGGGCCTTGGCGATTTCGTAGGGGACCACGATACCCCAGGTCGGTGCCATGATGGAGGGTGTGATGGGCAAGTCCGGGAGCTCCTTGGGGGGACGGCAGGAAGTCGATCCGCGCAGAGACAGGAGAAACAGATTTGGGTGAATCGGACGGATCGCGATAGATTTGCAGTATGATATGCAAGCGGTCGGGGAAACGTTTGCACCGGTTTAAACGAGTTGCGAGATTCAGCTGGCGGTTGTACGAGCAAGTTGAGACCATGAACGGAGGGCGTGTGAGAGCTGTGTCGCGGGTGTGAGAAAAGAAGCCGACGTCACGATGGATGAGTGGTCGAGACAGACATCCCGTCTCTGGAATTTTGGTTTTGGGTGGCAGACTTGCTGCCCAGGTGTACCAGGCTTGTCACAGAAGAGGCCCGAGAGTGCGCGTGTACTTCGCAAGACCTTGCCGGTGGCATGTCAGAGCGAACGGGAGCCACATGTCATGTCAGCCACCCGAGTGCAGGGCCTGAGCCTGAGAGACTTGCTGGCAGGCAACAAGTAATAGGTCAGGGTAAGGTAGCAGGCGGCAAGAAGCTGTGCTCGAAACGAAAGATGGAAGTTGGGATTTGATATTGTTGAGAGGAACTTGGGGAGGCATAAAGTGAAGCAACCACTAGACGCGGAAGAGACGAAAGCGAGATTACCACAACGGGTAAGCTGGCCTTGGCTCGAATTGGACAATGGGTCAAGCATTTCGGGTCGATGGACGGGGCGTAAAGTAGCCCGTGTCTGAAAGCGAGGAAAAGCAAGAGTGTAGTAACAGTGTGAAGCAAAGGTAATTTGGAAGAGTATTGGACAAGGTAACGAGGCAGAGGATAAGGTTGCGGGATGACATTTTGGCAGCATTGTGCCTGCATTAGTCGGGAGGGAGGGAGGCGGGCGGGCAATACCAAGCAGTTAGTAGGTGGACTAAGGCAAGGTAAGGTAAGGCACGACGGCAGCATGTAAGGTAATGTCAGGTAAGGCGATGTATGGCAGCCACCATGTCGCTGCTTGGAAGTAAGTGGATGGGTGAGGTGAATTGGCAGAGAGGCGAAAGGGTGTGCTACATCTCTATGGCTACCATAGTACACACATACTATCTCACTCTTCACGTTCTGTCTGGCAAGGCGAAAACGAGAGAGAAAGGGGCAAGCCATGCAGAGCAGAGCAGAGCAGTGCACACACAAATAAGCATGCCATGCCATGCCTACCTTACCCAGACTGCCTTGACAACCTAAAGGAAGGTTCCCTGTCGAGGAGAAGAACGATGACGGCGATGGTTGGTGGCTGTGATGAGGTGAAGGTGAAGTGACGGTGAATGAGGTGGGTAAAGGTGGTGGGCTGCCTACCCGCTGCGTCGGAAACCCACACGACGAGCTGAGCTTAAAAGTGCCCTGCCCAAGCTTTGACGCTATTTTGGGTCCCGTTTCAACTTCTTGTCAGGGGTGTCTCGGTACGTACATGAGATTACCTAGGTAGGTACATGGTAAGGTACCCTGACCCTG